ACCTCAATGAAGTAAGAAAAGAGACTGTTTGACATAACAATCAAACGTTGGTGAAACAAGAAGAGAGACGACACACTGAACAACAGAGAAGAGAGATGTTTAAGAGCGCTATAGCACAAGTTCGCAAAGCTTAACGATGTCATTCGTTCCATTGACGACAAACCAAAAGAAAGGTGACGGATGGTTTAAAGAAAGATTGAAGAGAAATAGGAAGAGGAATGTTAAGAACAAGCAATAGACTCATGACTTTAACATCGAAAGCTTTAAGAATGAACCAAACGAGACTACTTACACAAACATTTCGGTAAGGTTTTCCATGAGACCTTAGAGAAGATTAAAATAAACCTCCAACAAAGATGGATGGTATGTTATAAAACTTGGTGGAAAGTATGAATGTTCTAACGTTAAACGCTCAATAATATTGGAACATTTACTACATCAACTCTGAAGGAGAACTTTTATATCAGAGATAGAAAGCAAATGCTGCAAGGTATTGTTGAAATCACTAATGACTTCTTCTTGACAAACATAAAGAATCTTACGCGAAAATAAAGATGTATGATTTAACGAAATATGAAGGCTTTAACGAATGTCAGAATGTAAAGAAAGGCAAACCAAAAAAAAGAGACCATATAAGAAGATGAAAGCAACACTGACAAATGAACCCGAAAAGCCATTTTGGAAGCTCTTAAGCAAAACAGGAAACCCAGCACTTATAAGAAAAGGCTTTGGAAAGATAATGGTGAAAAGGAAGTTTTATAAGAAGAGAAGGGTCAGTTCCTGGAAAGTATCTTTGCACATTACCTATAAATCTTTGAAGCGCTACCAAATCTCAATGATACTGAAACTCTTGGGAGCTGCCAAAGGAAATGTCATTTGTCTATTAGCAAACAATGATTCAACTCTGACATCTTCTATAGGTGACAACTTCTCTAAATAGATCAATAACTCATCGTGTTTTGTCAAATATTCTTTCTTTCCTGTACTCAACACTTTTGATGCGTAAACATCAGTTGGAGGAGCGTATGGTCTCATCTGTCTGAGCTTGTCAAGTTGCTCTGTGACCTCTCTTAATATTTCACTGACGTATTTGTCGTTTTGCTGCTTAGTTACTCTGTATTCCATTGGTTTGTTGATAATTGCACGTGCTCTATCAATCAATGTCTTCTTTACACCGTTTATCTTAGCTGGGGACTTCTCAATAGGCTCTAGCATTGAGAAAACCATGTCTCCTGTAACAGGACGAGCAGAACTGATTTCAGATTCACTGATTTCGTCTTTAACAGGTGGAATTCTTGGTTGGAGAACCTGTGGAGGTACTTGGAATGGTGTCTCTCCATCAGCATAATGCGGAATAACAGGTGGCTTGTCATTGGCTGTATCGAAATTCAACTCAATATTTCTCTCTCCTTGTTCTTGTTGATTTGAGGAGATTTACTGATCATGACTGGGTTACTGACAAATCCGGTCTTAGGTAACTCGAGTTTCTGGATACTTTCCGCTGTTGGAGTTGGAGTTTCTTGTTTTTGAATGGGATTTGGCGGTTTTTTGTAAACCTTGAATTTGAATGGGATTTTGATGTGGGGGAAGTTCCTTCAATTGTGAAGGGAAAATAGGCGGATTTATAACTTCCTGTGGGTTGTTGCTTAATGATGAAAGGCTTAGATTTGGGAAAGATATTCTTGGACCACTTGTATTCTGTTTCATGACTAATTGTTGAGTTAATGACATTTCTAGGTCGTGTTTTATGAATTCAGGAGTTGGCATTGGCGGCATTGATGGATTTGATATCTTTTCTTCCATTCTACGAGCACTCTGCCTTAATTGTACAATGGCACTGTCAAGTTGATTTCGAATTTCTCTTCTGAAATTCATTTGTGCCCTATCCTGGTTATTCTGCTGCTCAATTAATCGATCCTGTTTCTCATTCAACTCAACGAGAGCTCGTAATTGCATGTCTGGCTGCTCAACAATGTGTCTAACATCATTATGATCTGCAACTGCATGAGAAAGCTCAGCTCGTGTTTTAGAAATAGCTTGGCGTAGGTTAGTGATTTGATCTGTGATATCTTCAAGTCCTTGCGGATGTCCTGATCGTAATGATTTCCATGCAGGTACTAAAGCTGCATGACGGCGTTGCATATGGCCATCTAAGTATTCTAAGGACTTAAACACTCTATGACAAACAATGCATTTCTCGGATCCTTCACCTGGTTTTTTGCCAACTTTGTTTTTAAGATGACTGACGGCTGCTGTAACTGTACGAAGCTTTTCTTTTAAGCTTTTGTTGTCTTCGTCTGATTGTTTGAGGATTTTTCGAAGATGTTCTTGAGTATCATAAATATATTGAACGCCTATTTGTAATAATCTGTAAAATTTAGCCGAGAGTGGATTTGGAAGTAATTGCGCTTCGGTATTTGTAAATCTTGAATTTAAAAACGAATTTAATAGTGCTTCAATTGTTTTGACGTCATTTGTCTTTGCAATTTCTTCAGGAGAGCATGCTGCAACGATATTCCAATTGAGTCCTCCTGTGCTTGGAAGTCCAGGATGAGGAGTTGGAGGAATATCAGGTAAAGCAGTTCGTTTCGGCTCTGGAGGCAAATTTGGTGGTTTATCACCAATCATTGGTATATTTGCGCCGTTTGTTCTCTGAGGAAATGCTGTTGGTGGTAGAAATTGATTATAAACAGGAGCTCCAAACATTGCAAATTTTTTAAACGTGTAAATCAGACGATTATTTTCTTTTCAAAATATGATTTTAAAAATTTTATGATGGAAAAGAGAATTTGAAGCTTGAAAGTAGAAAATATAGATTTGTATTGTATTAGAAAAATTGAGGATAGAGTAAAAGAAGGAAAATTATGGAGTGAAGAGGAGAACAATTGAAAATAATTGAGCATGGAATAAAAATAGAAAAGAAACAAATAAAGAAACATGTATATGATATAATAAGCAATGTTTAGATGAAGGTTTATCAATCTCGAAAAATTTTTGATTACTCGATTTTGAAAAACTTAGAGTTTTCGTGAAGCGCCGTTGGCCCAATTGGATAAGGCGACTGCCTACGGAGCAGTAGAGTCCAGGTTCAAGTCCTGGACGGCGCGATTTTTTCTTTTCGTCAATAATTTGGAATCTGGAAGTCATTACTTTTCTCGAAATCAGTCAAAGAGTCAATCTTTGAGTAATGAATGAAATTACCGAGTATTGTAAAGCGATAGGCGATTAGATGTTCTGTTTATAGTATTAGATTGAAAGAACTCAATCAAATTACTTATTGAATACAGATTTTACTGTAAATTCTACGATAAAATAATCTTTTTCGGCTTATATGCTTCAAAATTCTTGTATTGGGAAATTTCGGATCAGTTTGATAAAATGACTTCAAATGATAAACTGTCATATTGTTTATTGTATAATTTAATTCGATCGCAGTTTAATTGTTTTTGTAAGATCGTTTCTTACCTCAAAATGCCTTGGAAATATTGTAAATTTATTAATAACTACTATAAATAGGTGGATTTGATTTAAATTAAGTTAACATGTAACCGGCTTTACTGTGTGATATCATTGTGGATTGATTAGAGAAAATCAATAAAAATATCAAGCATTTGCAAGATATTTTTGCTTGGTAGCTACTGTGCGAGGACTGTAGAAGTAGAATCTTCATACTTCAATTTTCCAAATTTTTTCGAATTACAGGAATGTCTAGGTGAACTTGTAATTATGACAAATAAATTTTACGTTTCTGAATTTTTTTTGGAAAATTAAGGTTTCTCAGCAATAAATTTCAATTTTCTGATTTATATGAAGGTTATTGAAAGATTTTAATACTATAATGTTATTGTATTTTTATAAAAATTAGAAAGTTATTCTTTAATTTTTTATTTTGAAGCCAAAAATAATTTCCAATTATAAAATTCTCAAAATAAGATACAAACCTTCTTATGTGATATATTGATTATTGGTGCTTATCAAAATTCTTTTATACAAACATTGTTAATGACAAATTTTATCCTCAATAAAAATTTAATTTTAGTAAATTATAGCTGAGTATAATCAACTTATAATTACATAGTATAATTTGAGATAACAATAACGAAAATGATATATTTATTCAATCATAAGCTAAGGATATGATTTTAAATCGTAATAGAAATCTAATGACGATAGAATATGGATTATTTTGGTATTCTTCGCATTGCATTATTACTAGTGTATTCAAATAGCGATTCTTTTGGCATTGCGGATATAATAATTTGTAATCATAAAGTTTATGAAGAAAATCTTTGATATTAGAGCTCTAATATGCCAGTAGAATATTCAAGATCAGTTCTAAAAGATTTGTAGAAATGCTTCGATAAATTTTGTTGTAAGAGTTCATTGGACGTCACCAATATGTTATGCGTTTACTTTTCTTGGAATGCATCGGAAAAAATCAAGAAATCAATTTTTATGGAAAATTAAATGTGTTGAAAACATGAATTATCATATTGTTACAATATGATAATACTTAAATCTCTTGGATCATGACTTGTCATATTACTCACATAGACCAATTCTATATTCACAATCAATTAAACCAAAACTTTGATCTGATATGCCACTTTTTCTTTCAGATTCACATAATATTGCCTATTAGTCAGCAAGAATAGATACATCTAATAGGAGACGAGGAAATTTCTTTACTGATTGCAAATAACTTCATTTTTTGAAAATGATTGTGTAGCATTTTTTCTTTTTTATTTTATCTATTATGTATCCAGGGCGATGATAGAGGTGTTTCCTTCTCAGACAATTTCGACAGACTTATTCGTGCTCCACCTAGCTTAAGTGGAGAAGACGTCATCATTAGTTCCGTTGTTGAGATTGCAGGCGGAAGCACAATTGACGAAAGCCCATTTAAAGATTGCCGCGCAAACATTCGATCCATCCGCTTTGATTTTTCCAGCAAAATCAAATCAATCTGCAAATTTTGTTTTGCGGGGAGTTCACTCGAGATGATTGATATGGAGCAATGTTCGGATCTCCCGAGCCTGAATAACTCATTATTTTCGAATTGCGCTAAATTAAAATCAATCAAAATGCCACAAAAGATCACAATTATTGGAAATGGATGCTTCTTTAATAACGTATTGCTTAACTCTATCACAATTCCAGACTCAGTTCAGATAATAAAGGGATGGAGTAATGTGGATTATGCTCCATTTCAAAACACTCTCAAGGAAATCAAAATATCCCCTAATTCTAAGCTCACGACAATTGAGAACGCTGCATTTATGTCATCTAAGATAACAAATATTTTCATTCCGAAATTAGTAACTTATCTTGACCCAGGTTTTATTTTAAACTGTAATATTCAGAGAATAGAAATCGATAACGATAATCCTATTTATAAAACCGACGGAACTGTTATATACAAAGATAATAACTCAACAATTTGGTGCGTATCAAAAGCTGTCAATGGAGTTTTTAATATTCCTAGTTATGTGACGACACTGGCTACATCTTGCTTCAGAGGTGTACCAATTACAAACATAACATTCCCTCAAGATGCAATGAATTTTGATAGTTTTAATTTTGGTCAAACTAATTTTGTTGAATTTAACTGTCCATCATATATGACATCAATTCCTCCAAGCTTTTTGAATCGTTGCTTCCTATTGACTACTGTTCATTTATCTCCAAAAATACAAAGTATTGGAGATCATGCATTCCTTGAGTGTCATAATCTAGTAAATATTGAGCTCCCTCCAGCTCTTACTAAGATTGATGATATGGCATTTTCTTCTTGCACTAGTTTGAAAAAATTAGTTTTCACACCTAATTTGTCTAAGATTGGCGAGTCCGTTTTCTCAGACTGTACACTTGAAATCGACACAACAAATAACTCGTACTTTCTGTATCAAAATCACATGCTACTTTCTCAGAATAGGACAGCTTTAACAGATAGTTTTGGTACTGACAGAGATACAATACTTAATATCCCAATTGAATGTTTTACTATTGGAAAAAATACATTCTATAATAAATTGCTCAAAAAGGTTACATTTGCAGGCAATAATCTCACCAGTATCAATGAATCAGCTTTCGCATCATCAAGTATTGTTGAGATCATACTTCCTTCGAGTCTTTGTATTCTTGGAAAGCAGTGTTTCATATCTTGTTCTCAACTGACATCAGTAACTTTTAATGGAAACTCTCTAAATGAAATTCCAGATGAGTTTTTCCGCAATTGTGCCAAACTTAGTACTATTGTTCTTCCTCCTTCGATCACTTCTATTGGCGACTACTCTTTCTACCAATGCACTTCCATTGGAGATATTGGCATCAGCAATACTCAGATACTTAATATTGGAAGATATTGTTTCAGTAAGAGTAGCCTTAGTATCTTTGATGTTGATCATTATATCTCTCGAATATTATTCAACAGTTTTGAGTCCAGTTCAGTATCTACTGTTTCAATTTCGAGCAATTCTATCCCAGAGAGATGCTTCCGGAACTGTGAATCTCTTACAAGTATAACTCTCGGCGAAGGCATTGTCTCTCTCTCAGATGAGTGCTTCAAGGGATGCACGAAACTCGCATCGTTCACTATCCCAAGCACTATAACAACAATCAATTCATTTGCCTTTCAAGGGTGCACATCACTTACTTCAGTCATTTTGGGCGAGGGAAGTTCTCTCAGTGAAGTCTTCGGAGGAACATTTGCTGACTGTGATCTTCTTGAGAAAATTACTTGTAATAGTGCCGCTCATAAATTTAGAAACGGAGCCCTTACAGATGCTGAAGAAACGAAGCTTATAACATTCATTCCCTCAAGTAAGATTTCTACTTTTGTTGTTCCTTCTACCATGAAAACCATTGGTCAATACGCCTTCATGGGAAGCAAAAACCTTGTGCGAGTTATTGCCGATGGAGATCATCTTACAACGATCGGATTTATGTCCTTTGCGGACTGTACTCGTCTTTCTTTCCTCTTTGTTCCATCAACAAGTCTTGAGAGAATTGGTGATCAAGCCTTTAGTGGATGCAAAAACCTTTTCAAATGTGGAGCTATCCAGTGCATGAAGAATAAGCAAAACTTGTTTACCACGCGTGGAATTCCATCCATCTCATTTAATGAAATTTGTCCTGATATTAAATTCTCATGTGTATTGAAATACACATTCATATTTTTATCATGAAAACTTCTTTTCTTGATTCTTTTTCAATTTTAAAATCTTTTTGTTTAATTAATTCGAACCATCATTATTTGCTTACCTGTTGTAAATATAAGAATTTGCATTTATGAAATTGCTAAATAATGCAGATCTGAAATTATTTTCAGATTCACTATCACAACAAGCTCTAATAATATATCACAATGCCAAACCAAATAAAAATAAAGAAAGATATATGATTATTTCCGTTTATTAATAATAGAACAAATAAAATTTGAAATAACAAATAAAAAACAACATAAACTTAAAACAAAAATTCTTTCTTAACCTCTCCTCTTTGTACTGAATCGTTTACTAAGTTGTGGAGACAGCATAAAAACGATATGTAATTAATTACCTCTACCCATTCTTTTAGCTGCTCGTATTGATCTCCATTAATGACAAGCTTCGAATCTTCGTAGAACTTATTTGGTCCGATGATCAATTTCGAATTATTATTATTGCTTGAAATTTCTAAATTGAAATCATCGCCACTTTTTGTGACCTCTGCAGTAACGTCGTAAAGAAGGAACGAATTTCTCAGATTCTGATATTTTGCGTCAGAATAAACTTCAAGCCAATATCCGTTTGTTCTAAGGCATGTAACTTTGTTTCTCTTGAAGATTGTCTTCTTACATGATATCAGTGCTGATTTGGAAAGAGTTGGGAGCTCGTAATACTGTCCAAAAGTAAATTTCACATCTACTGGACGAGTTGTAATAGCTGTATACAATCCGAATATGTTTTCTTCAGGTAATGATGATCTGTTGAAGTAAAGTTTAAAAATTTCAGGAGATACCATTGTTGTGGAAGATGAACTTGCGCAAAACCCGATAAGTGCAACCGAAATGGCAACTACATCGTTCTTTAATAGCACACAATTTGCATTTTTCGATAAATATGCATCGGCAAATGCACCGAAAATTATTTTGAGTAATGAAGCGTTATTTGGAAAAGCAAATAGTGAGAAAAATATTGTAGCTGAGTCAAGAATTGTTGTAAACTCTGTATTTAGGGCCGAAAAGAAGAAGAATAGCAAAGGTTGCGGCTGAAATAACGGATTGAATAGGATATCCGAACGTCTGTATATAGAAATGCCTTTTGTAATGCATAAAATCTTTGCTAGATAATATGGATCGCAATAAATTTCGTCTAATTTTCTTAGATTATTGATTGTTTCATTGGGATTGACATTAAACAATTCTGCAAAGTTGGAAATTTGAGAAGGTATTTTCATATCATAAAGTTGCTCCTCAACTGGAAGATATAATGAAAGCTTCTCATCGATTAAAGACATCGTAAATACTACGAAACTAACCGTAGGTTCTCAAAAATTAAGAACTGTCAAATGTCAAACCTTTTCAAAACAATTATCACATAACTTGTTAACAATAATCCGAAAGCAACACATGCAATCCGTTCAGCATTTGATGCTAAAAAATGACTTGGGTATAAAAAATTTACGACGGATAAATATTTTTTGAGATTAAATTTAGTTAAAAATACTTTTTAAAACAAACACAATCGATATTATTTCTGAGAATAAAATTTTCATTATCAATTGAATTGAATAAAAGGTTTTTTATCCAAAAGTTGCATAAAACAAAGGTACATTCACTAGGCGATAACAGTAAAATGGGATGAAAATAGGATAAATAGCATCCCTATATAGTGCCTAACAATATTTATACGGGCCAAAAAAAATTTGGCTAGAGATTTGGCGAGTTATAAAACTTAGAAAATTGAGAGGGATTTTTATTTTTGATTTTTTTTGGAAAGTTAAAATTGCGATTAAAAATCGATTTCCGGGAGAACTAAGCATCTCATCATATATTTAAATCGATAAAAATATTAAATAATAGTTGAATAGTATAACAACGTGAAATTATGGCTGAATATACAGAAAAAATGAACATATTTGACATTTTTGAAAATTCATACGTTAGATGGTGACAAACTCATAAACTATACTTTAGCTAAGATTGATATATGGTTTCAACAACACATGGTTAAAATCGTAAAAATATTTTAGATTTCAAAAAGATATATATGGTAATATAATGGAACAGAGTCAACAAATAGCATGTAAAATATGTTATAATTAACTTTTTATTAGATCTAATAGTATATATCGAATGGTTTCCAGCTTTATGGTTAATTATTTTCTTTTCGAGCTTCTCTTTAACTGTTGTATTAAGGTTGTAAATTTTTGATGCTAGAAACTATGGAATCTTCTTTGTTGCTGCATTTTTCTTGAGAGTTCTTGCAATTTCGAATATATCTGCGCATTGTATGAAATGGGGGCTTTAAAATATCTTGAATCATAATAGGACTGCTTTTCCAAAGGAATGCTTATTTGTAAATCAGAGAGTTTCAAAATTGAGTGCAAGATTATCATCATAACTTAATAATTTTGTAGCGTTTTTTAGAAAAATGCTACAAAATTATCATTCTCAATTGAATGATGAATCGAAAGAATTTTGTAGCGTACGATTATTTTCAGTAGTATATGTGGAACGGTTGTGTGACTTTTTTTGTAAACGTAAGAATTCATACAATATCGAGCGATTTTGTATCATTTTTTTAACATATGAAGTAAAAAATGTATGATTCTTACGGTTTTTATTCTTACGTTTTTGAATAAATCAAGATTTAAAAAATTTTCAAAATTGTAAGACATTTACACTCAGCCCAAACATAAACGCATTAAAAAATTAACATTAATTTTAAAATAATTTATTTTTTATCTTTTATAAAAGAAGCTATATATATAGATGATGTCAGATATTCCGTGATTAATTAAACATTGTTTAAATCCTGAATGGAATCAATGGAGTCATAATCAAAGACCTCATAAACGAGTAAAAGAAATTAGAAATAATTATTTTCATGAATAAAAGATTCACTACCATAATGAAATAAAAAATAAAAAAATAAACTTTAAAAATTCAATGTCTCAGAATCAACATAGAACTTTAAGAAACTAATGATTATTTGAATTTATGAAATCAATTATTTGATTCATTCTTTCTTCAATCTCTTCTATTCTTTTTGTTAAATCATCTATTTTCATTAATGAGGTGATTCTTGATTGAGGAATAGATTTCAAACTAACCACTCCTTTTATTTTTGAAATTTTGAATCCATCAACTTTAAACATTTTATTCAATTTACACGTTGTCAATTCTTCAAATAATTTTTTATTATTAGCATAATAGTCATTAAATTCTTCAACAGATGAAAAAATTTTTATTTCAGTAATTGGTTTAACAACGTTTATTTTTTGTTGAACATCTTCACTTTCATTTATTTCTTCCTCCTCTGTTTCATTTATTTTTAAAATCGGTTTCATTTATCATTAAATAAAAATTAGAATATAAGTGATGAAATATATTTTTTAATTAATATTAAATCAACTATGGCGGCAGGATTCTTTAAAAAATTATGGGATGGAATTAAGAAAGCTGCGGGTTGGGTTCATAAAAATATTATTAAACCCGTTGCAAACTTTTTGGCACCAGTAGCGAAAACGGCAGGAACTATCATAGGTGGAGTATTAGGTACTAAAGCAGGTAATCCGGCGATGGGAGCACAAGCAGGTAACGCAATTGGTGGAATAGCTGAAGGAATACTTAATAAAATAGGAGGTAGATAGTGGAAAAATAAATTATTTTAAAATTATTTTTATCTTAGTATCGGTTGAAGTCTTTGATAAACTTTTTCTCCTTTATTTAATACTTCTCTTATTGGGGCAGCTTTTGGTGTTATTGATTCAGCAATGTCACTAATTGCTTCTTTATTCTTAAATATCCAATTTGCCCCCTTCTTCAATGTTTCCCAAACTTTACTCACTCCTCTTTTTACTTTATCCCACAGTTTCTTAAATATACCTGCAGCCATAGTTGATTATTTCATCAAAATTAAAATTCATTTTCATCTTTTAATTTTGATTTTTTATTTATTAATAAATGACGACTAACTATTTAGTGCCAAACACCAAACCGATTAATGGAAATGTGTTTCATTCATTCGAAAAGATAAATGAAATATTCGCAAAGAATGACGGTAGAAGATATTATAGAGAACTTGAAAGTTCATGCTATGACTCTGATGCTCCATATTTTGATGATAAACAAACTCATTTAAGAATTACAAATCCGGCTCATGATGTGAACCAATTAGGTGACACATATATTAAACGCAAAGTTAAAGCAACTCTAGTTTCAAATAAAGCTTTCACATGTGATGCCGCTTTTAAATGCATGCGTTTATTCGTTGGTTACAAATCATCAAATCAAAGCTTTAAACAATTAGAAGTAGAAACTGAAAGAGGTGATGCCGGTTATCTTCAGATGGATTGCGCCCGTGAATCTTTCGCATTTGCAACATATAAACCAAAATCAGAAAGGAAAGTTAAAAAGTTTGTTCATTCGTTATATAATAATGTTCAAAAATATGATAACTCAGTATGTGGTAAATATATTGACCCTTCAGAAGTTTTCAAGAACGCAAATGAAGAAGTTGATGTCACTTTTGATATGATTATTCCGGTAAATGATTTGTTAGCATTTCAGGCGTTTGATGATTATCCTAAATCATTTGGTGATATCATTCTTAAATATTATGTTTTCAGGGATACTTTAGTATTTTGTCAGGTTGACCCGTTAAGAGTTGCTGATTTACAAAATTACGTTTATGAAAAGATAACTGATGAAAATTATGAAAAGATTATGAATCATGTTTATAAATATGATCGCAAATTCCAACAAATCGGACTTCCTGCCAAATTAATTACAAGCTTAGCCGCTACATCTGCTGACGCAACAGTTGATGACGTTATTATTTCATGCACAAAGATGGAAGTTTTAGAGGATAAATGCATTACACCAGGATACGGTTTAATTGAAGAATCAGTTAAAGCAATACCACGTTTATTCAGTAAGGAAGATCCATTCATGATTCCAGCTCAACATATTGACGTTCGTTCACTAAATGGAGGTTGCATCACTCCTGAAGGTATCAGCTCAGATTTCTCATACGCTCTTCATAATGTTACAGATGTTGTGTTAACATTTCCGAAGAATGCAATGCAAAGAACAGTTTTAGAAAATCCAATGCTTCGAGGTCTTCAGGTCACTATAGATTCCAGAAACTTCCCCGATCAAGCGATGACCACAGTGGGCGACATATTCTTTACACGTATGCTTCAAGCTTCTGATTTAGATGGAGTGAATGAATGCACAGAAGAATACGAGGACTCATTAACTAGACCACTGAATGATGATAATGGCACGCCATTAGCTAGAACATGGAAAGACCAAACTTCATTCTTATGCACTATTCCAGTTCAACGTGATGGAGCGGGTATATTCTTTGATGGATTAGAAACTTTCAACTCACAAGTTACAGTACAAGTGAAAGCTTATCCAATCATTCAGGGTGAAAATGACACTTACTGTTCAAAGGTGACAAATCCTCCTCAGGTTTGGTTTACTAGGACTACATATTGGACATGGACACCGGATGAAGGTTTGAAATATCATCCAACAGGTACACCACCACAGTATAGAAGTTCATATGATGAAATATTGATGAATAGAAATGTTTAAAATTATAAATTTATTTTTGATTAAATGGATTTAAATTCATCCACCCCTTATGAAGAATTAGCAGGAGTATATAATACATACGTAGATGATATGATTAATGAAGCATTGAGTGATAATAGAAATGCTCTATCTAAGGAAAAATTAATGAAAATTCCATATTCTGAATGTTACTTAAATTCAATCACTGCAGCAATTGGTAAACAAAATAAAGGTAAAACATTAACGATATTAAAACAAATTATCATTATTGCTAACACTTCCCCCATTCACATGTGTTAATTTATATCAACCGTTCAGGTTCACCTTCAGATGATACATTTGAATCTTTAAAGCATTTAATCAAAATTCCAATTATTTATTTATCACAAGAAGAAGCAGAAGATTATTTAAAAAACTTTTTAATGTATAAAGAATTATATAATACAATCAAGAAGCAAGGATTAGAGGATAAAATTATTGATAAACAACGGATGAATTATTTGAAACACTTTCTATTTCAAATTTTGATAGAGAATTTTTGCATTCACTCATTTTTCTAGATGATGCAGTGAAATCAAAACTAATAACAAATGAGAAATCATATTTTAATCAGTTATTAACTCAATGTCGACACATTCAGTGTTCATTCTTCATGGCTGTTCAATACTTCAAAGCATTAAGCACAAACATTAAATCAAATCTATCAACACTTTTCATTTTCAGTGGGTTTAGTCGTCAACAGTTGAACGTTATGCTTTATCAAGTGAATTTACCAATGAGCATTAATGAACTTTACACACAATATCAGCAATTAGGTGAACATGGAAAAATAATAGTTGATTTAAATAAAGGAAGTGTTAAATTTGATTAACTTTTTATAATTAATTTTTATTTTTTATTTATAATTAAACATGACAGAAATGGTAAATCTTCTACAGGTTCCATTAAAACAAGGGACAAACAAAAGGGGTGCATATAATAGAACTATGAAAGTTCCTGATGGAATGAAAGAATTAGTTCATATTGTTGCTGGTCTTCAAAAAGATGTTAAACAAATGAGAAACGTTTTAACATTACCAGAAGCTCAAGCATATGCCAAACGTCAAGGTCCAAATTGGGAAGCACACGAAGCAGACATTACGGGTCCAAATGGAAAACCTGATGGTATAAATGAAGTTTTCGTTACTGATGGTCAAGGTAATATTAAAGTCATAAATGGTTATAAATTAACTATAACTGATTATCCTAAACGTAAAGCATATAATGAACGTTATCCTATGCAATTTGATGAAAATGGAAAAGCTGTTAAACAATACATTGAGAAGGTGAAAATGGTCCAATTAATTCATACCGTTAATCCATATTCTTATTTCAATGAAGAATTAAATGCTGTTGAAGAGGGACCGGATGGATTACCACGATATTCTAACCAGTTTGATGGTCAATATGCAAATATTAGACCTGAAATTTCAGCTAAGAAATTCTTTAAAGTTGCTTTATTCGATCCAGTTTTCGCAAATGTTAAAGATGAACTTAAACAGCAATTCCAACCAATTATAGTAGCAAGAATTGCATCAGGTGCTTTATCTCAAGCATTCAAAGATTTAATTAAGAAACCATTATATCAGCAACGTGGTTTAACTTATGATTTAGTTAAGGAATCAGATAAAAGAAAATTTGAGAAATCAGATGATTATAAGAATGCAATTAATGAATATATTAGGTCTATTAATTACGATGAAACAGCTAAAAATCAACTTCATGAACAAATACAGGGAATAATAGATTCAAAAGTTCCAGCAAAATAAAAGTTTAAATATATTTTTTTTATTCGATTATAAATGAGAAGACGTTTCACTAGTCAAAAGAACACTAACGCAAAAGCAGAGATTACGGTTGGTTATAACGTAAATGATGATAAATCACGAATTATTCAAAATGTTAAAGTTAATGTTAGCCCCGAATTAACAAGGTCAGCAACTCAACCAAATTTATTAACTCGTGACTTACCGAAGAATGAGGAGAATGAAGAAAACCATGAGAATGGAGACCCAATCATTTTATCTGAACCCGGTAAAGAACCCGTTGAAATTCCCACTTATCCAACATACCCCCCACCTCTTTCATCAAACATCGAGAACCCATATAAAATAGACATTAATTCAGAATTAATGAAAATTTACCGTGATATAATAATTAATAATTATGATTCAATAATAAATTTAATTGACCAATCCGGTTTAATTATTTTACCTTATGAATCATTAATTCACATTATCGCCATTCTTTGTGATGTTCAAGATTCAGACGTTAAGATTCAATTTTTCATAGATGATGAGGTTTCATGCTGTGGAACAGTTGCAAAAATAAATCCTATAAAGGATATTAGCACAATTAAGATATCAAAGAACGGAACAACAACTGAACTTCATTTAACATATAATGATATTTATAATAAAATAGTTGATGAATATAAAATATCACTTGAAAAATTCTTTGTTAAGGCTATTTAATATTCAAGCATTAACATTATCGAATAATAATCCTTTGAATCATAATCAATAATAATTGACCTTTCACCAGTTTCTATCGTTTGTTTTATTTCTTTTTGTTCCCCACTATCGGATCGGTCATTGTAATTGTTTTTGTTATAGTATCAGCTTTATCTTTAACTTCAATCTTTTTTCCATCGGGATATTTAAACCAAAATTCCAAAAATTCGATATTGTCAATCTGTTCATATTTTAATCTATCAATTACATTTTTAATACCATCTGAAAATCTTATGAAATGGTCATTATATGGGTTTGATTGAACTAAATTTGAATGAAGTGAAATATAACCTGTTGATGAATATGACATTGACTCATATTTTCTGAAAACACTAAAATTTATAACATGAATGAATTTCTTATTCGTTGAATTTATGAATTCTTGCGGTAATCTTATTCTAGTTTTATTTATCACTGGAAAATAACGCTTTACCATATTTTTAATCGTAATAAAAATGTCAATTATCAATATTATTTCGAATAATAGCTGTGAATTAAATTTAACAGTTAGCGGAATTTATAATGTTACTCTCGTTTCTGTGAGTGGTAAATTTAATCCCATTCTTTTAGACACTTCAGATTATATATCATTTATTAAAGATGACCATGAAAAAACGTATGATATGTATATAAATAATGTGATAGCGAAATGGGATATTAACATGATTTTAAGTTATTTAAATGAATCATTTATCGTATGTATGGTATGAAGAAAATTTTAAATCAAAACCCGATAAACTTTTTGAACTTGATGAAATAAATAACCTTATTAAATTCCCGCTGAAAATTAAATTTTGTACTCCTCATCTTCGTTCATTGTTGGGGATATTAAATTTTGAAAAAGATGTTGGGGATGTTTTGTATTCTGACACTGGTTCCAATTTCATTTTAATCAAATGTGATAAAGTTAATACCCCAATGAGATTTTCACATCAAACATTAGACCCTAACTCTTACCCATCAATACAAAACATTTTATCCATCAACTTAAACACATTTTCTTTATCATATCCGTTTCAATTATCCGGGAATTCATTTATTCTTCATTCAAAAGATTTATCAAATATTAAATTTAGAATAACTGACCTATTTGATTGTGATTTAGAATTTATGAATGAAATATTATGGCAATTTCAAATAGAGAAAATAGCTGATGAGATAACGGATTAAATATTTATTTTTAAATCATAATAAATGATTAAACAACAGCAACCACAACAACTTAAGGCACAAAACACCCAGGTCCTTCAGACCATTACATACGCCATATATGCATATAATTCAAAGACGGCAGAACAAACGCAAAGGTTGAAATATGGAGATTTGGAGATAGTATTGAAAAATGACCATTTCGAATTCGTTTGCAAAGGTGGTGCAGTGATATCAAATATAAAAGAAATTTTATTTATGAATTCAAAAATTAAAGGAATAACGGATGATATAACATCAATTCCACCAGAAGAACAGAGATATTACGCATTAAATGCATTTCCTAAAGTTTTGAAGATTGGAAGATTTAATTTAAATGAGGAATTCATAGAAGGTTTCCTAAATGACATAATGAAGAGGTGGATAAGGAATATGTGGATAGTGAGTTAAATAAGAAGGCAAATTTGGTTTATGTTGATGAAAAAGATAATGAAATTAAAGAAAAGGTTGAATGGTATCATGAATGGACATTTGAGACTTTTAAAGTTAAAGCCGATACAGAATGGGTTTCAGGATGTTTAGACCTTAAAGCAGATAAAACATATGTTGATGAAAATTATGCAAAGAAGTCGGAAGTAAATGATGTGATTACAAGCATGAAAAATGAAATACTTCAAACATTATATCCTGTTGGTTCTATTTATACGTCAATGAACTCAACAAATCCAGCAAGTGTTTTAGGTTTTGGTACGTGGAAGCAGATTGTAGATAAATTCTTATACTGTGCTAGATATTCAAAGCAAACAGGAGGTTCGAAGAAAATTAAAGAAGCAAACCTTCCACCGCACACTCATACAGGAACGACAAACACAACAGGTAATCATTCACATTCAATAACAAAAAGAGGTTATATAAATCTTGCAGCGGGTTCGGATAGATGGGGAATGAATAGATATGATATCACAACTGACCCAGTAGATTCAAGCACAGGTATTTTCTGTGGAACCGCAGGAAATCATTCACACACTTTCACAACAAATCCAACAGGCTTGGGTAAAGATTATATGCCACCATTTGTGACTGTATTCGCATGGTACCGCGTTCATTGAATGTGCTTGAGCCCAGACCTTTGGGTCAAGGCTTACCGAATGAACTAAATATATTTTATGTCTGTAATTAATTAGGTAATGAAGTAATGGATGAACTGCAGAAATAAATGTTTACGTTAATGGTTTCAGGTTATTCAATAATTAATTATTTTTGAAGAACTGAAGGTGCTACCATGTTACCATGTGCTACCAGGTTAATGAACTTCTCTGAAAAAATGAGACAACATGACATTTTGACAACACAGCAGGAGGAAGGCATTTATGAATTATTTTTGAAGAACTGAAGGTGCTACCATGTTACCATGTGCTACCAGGTTAATGAACTTCTCTGAAAAAATGAGACAACATGACATTTTGACAACACAGCAGGAGGAAGGCATTTATGAATTATTTTTGAAGAACTGAAGGTGCTACCATGTTACCATGTGCTACCAGGTTAATGAACTTCTCTGAAAAAATGAGACAACATGACATTTGACAACACAGCAGGAGGAAGGCATTTATGAATTATTTTTGAAGAACTGAAGGTGCTACCATGTTACCATGTGCTACCAGGTTAATGAACTTCTCTGAAAAAATGAGACAACATGACATTTTGACAACACAGCAGGAGGAAGGCATTTATGAATTATTTTTGAAGAACTGAAGGTGCTACCATGTTACCATGTGCTACCAGGTTAATGAACTTCTCTGAAAAAATGAGACAACATGACATTTTGACAACACAGCAGGATTAATGCAAAAATAAATTCCAATCATACTTTATAAAGCATCATTTACAGGTATTTCATCGTCAGTAAATGAATCCTCATTATCGTTTGGTTCAACCTGTTTATATAATCCTTTCATTTCTTCTTTCAAAACATAACACCATGTTTGTTTATCGTCTATTCTTCTATGTTTCCTATCACATTTATCCTTAATGCTCATTTGAAATTTTTTGTCTTTCATGTCTGATGGTTTGCAGAATAGAGCATTTTTACACGTCATACCCGCACACAATTCATCATAATGTGTATTTATCCATACATCTAAAGGATTTGTTGATAATTCAATTAAATCTTGTTTGGCTTCAGTCATCGGTATGATTCGTACATTAAATGATGAAAGGTCGTAATTGATAAAATATGTTAAAAGGTTATCATAAAATTCCTTTGTGCATGAATCCATCAAATTCTTGAAGTAATCAAATTGACCCTTGAATTTACCATTAACCCTTAAAACTACGTATCTTCTGTCTCCAACTTTAATTTTGACAGGGTAGACGTTGTTAGTTACGAAAATGAAGTTTGCAACGTTCTGTGCTGTTCTTCTGGGTTGATTCTTTTCATTAATTCTAATCTCATTATCCGTTATAATTGATTTCAAAGCGTTGAAGTTTGCGAGTCTATCTTCACCTACATTCTTGAGTTCATTAAGTACAAGAAACATTTTATTTTCAACAACTGAATTGAAATTACCCGTTAGCTCACCTATTTCAGTAATGTTTTTACATGAATAACCAGCGAGGAGTTCAGAAATAATGTCTGTAAATCTGTTTTTACCTGTTCCCTGAAGTCCTTTCAAAATAATTGCTGTTTCATTCTTGATTCCAGGATGTTGAATCATTGATGCAATCCAGCCGAGTAGGTATTTATACACTTCATCGTTATTATCACAAATGGCTTCTTTAATGAAATCCATAAACATCTCAATTTTTGAGTAATCAGGCTTTTCGAGAACGTTGTATTTATAACCTTGAAACGTTGAGAAAACATCTGGAGAATCAGATTTAAAGCAAACACCCTTAACGGTTAATGAGGATAATTGATTTAGTAGTACATCCCATGCTGTTATTGTTTTACCTTCTTCTTTAAATAATTTAATCATTTTGAGTGACTCTTTCATGTTTGATTGAAGAACGAATGATATTTGATTCATTTTGTCGTGGATATTATAGTCCTTTTGAATGAAATATTTGTTTCCACAATCTACAAAACGGATTACACGTGATAAATCCTCAATTACTTCAGAACTGTTTTTATACTGATGATTTTCAGCCTTGCGTCTAATATCTGTTATCAAAAACGAGTCATCAAGTTTGATATCAAATGTTATTTTTGGCTTACGTAATAAAGGTAAAACATATTCATCATAATATTCCTTTTGATAAAGTTTTAGAATCTTCACTAAAACAAATGGAGAAGTCATTAAATGTGCATATCTACTACGTGCTTTTTCAAAATTACTTTTTGCATTTTCAGTTAAGCTGCAGAAGTTATAAACGTTATCGTATGCTTCATTAATTAAATGATCCGGTAACGAATTAATTGCTTGAAACAGTGTGAATAATGTAACTTCTTTTTCTAAATTCATGTTTCCACCGTCATTATGTACTTCAAAATCACTGATGCCATCAACTATGCTCTGGGCAAGTTTATCGTCAATGTTTACATCTTTGTTTTCATTCATGATAGTCTTTATTTCTTCGTTCTTCTGTTCAACTCTTACCTTAATATTCAAATCATTTAATATATCGTTTACTGTTCTGGTTATGGTCGAGTCATAACTTCCGCGAATGAATGAGTATGTATTGATTGGTTCTGTTGCATTCTTGCAAACTCTTGAATCAGCCATAACCACTAAAGAACGCTTTGAATCATCCATAGAAGTCATGATATCGATATCATAATCATTGCAGGAATAACATTTAATCATTCTGTTCGAAACTGAATAGAAGAAATTAGTGTTGCAATAAATATGAAGACCTCCTGAAGCGGTTTTAACGATAACATCTTTATCCGAAAGTTTTGATAAAATATCTTTTCTAACTGTTTCTTTAAGTTCATCATTGTATGATTTATTGATATCAACATCTATAATCGTTAAATTTGAAATTTTATTTACTAATAAAGCCATACCAGTTTTCCTTCCTCTTCCTCCATCGTGTTTGAGGTAGTTATGTAAATCAATCTTGTTTTCACCAATTCTTTCGTTGAGGGTTTTAGTTTCTGCCACAACTAATTCCTCAGCTAATGAATCAATAACTTGTTCATCAGAAATGATAAAGTTACTGTTGTTTTTTGTTGCTGTCATTTATATAGGAATAAAAAAATAAAAATAATTTTAAAACTAACTTTATTTTTGGACTGCATCAAATTTCCAGGACTGTTGTCAAAATGTCATGTTGTCTCATTTTTTCAGAGAAGTTCATTAACCTGGTAGCACATGGTAACATGGTAGCACCTTCAGTTCTTCAAAAATAATTAATTATTGAATAACCTAAAAACATGAACGTAAACATTAACGATAAAATATATTTTTGGTCGTTTATGACAAAAATAAATGGTTCATTTACTCACAATATTTTTTTACAAAACGACCCCAAGCTTTTAACTTCTTTTCTGCAGCTTCTAATGCTATCTTAGCGAGTTCATATTCTCTAAATTCTCTCTTTAAATTTTCTTGTTCCCATTGGTCTAGTTCGAATGGAGAATCTCTATAACCATAACATAACTCACGTTCATGTTCTAATTGTTTTTCGCACATTTTTCTAACTTCTTCTTCAAACAAAGGTTTAGCATTCTCTACTGTATCTTCAAGTTCTTCTTCATCTAATTTCTCATGAACTTTCTTGTCTATGGAGTCCATAATATCTTTACATAAAATGCATACTTTACAGAGCACCATTCAGCAACAAAATGAACGAGGTCAGGATGTATGTAAATACCTTTGAATTCATTTATAACACCCTTTGTAAGCTCATAAATGCTTGTTTTGAGGTCGAGCCACTTTTGGCTCCACCGTATTCGTTCATCCAAAACTCAAGAATTTCCTGCATTTTAGTACTATGAGAAATCTTTTAAATGGTTTAACCTTCCCGCTTCTCTTGCCATCTTTGTTGCATTAATGTAACCATCCTTGTCTCTACGTAAGACTTCAATACCATTATAAGTGCCTTTTGTGAATGTTTCGCCATTAGATTTGTTCGTGAATGTTTTTGCTTCGACTGACATTTCTGTTCTTACATACAAGATAAAAAATAAATAAAAATAATTTTAAAACTAACTTTATTTTTGGACTGCATCAAATTTTCGTAAATGTTGTCAAAATGTCATGTTGTCTCATTTTTTCAGAGAAGTTCATTAACCTGGTAGCACATGGTAACATGGTAGCACCTTCAGTTATTCGAGACGTTGTCGAAGAGGAATAAAAATTAAATTTGGATTGAGTTTAAAAATTCATCTTTATTAAATTCATCTCTTCCAATCAATTTATTTATTCTATTAAATTCTTTTATTTTTGCTTCACTCAGTTTAAGGATTGAACGGTAAGTTTCTAATTTTTCGATTATTTCCTTCTTCTCTTTATCGTTTTCAATTACTTTAGTTTTATCGGCATCAACCCACCGCATTGCGACTTCTTTTTGTAATAGCATATTTTTGATTTAATTCTGTTTAGTTTCTTTTTATATTCATCGTCTGACTCTGAATCTAATTAAATCAGGACTCTTGGCTGCTTTGTTGTCACTCATTCTTACGAAATAAAAAAATTAAATATTATTTAAAATAATGAGTAATAAAATAAATCGGAATTTCTATTAATTTATTGTCAACTTCAACTAATGCATTGCCGTTAATATATCTAACAAATTCAGCTATTGTGTCAAATCTTCGTCTTCTTTTTGTCATTGATTTATTAGTTTTTCCATAATCGAGATGAATCAAAACTTTATCCCTTGTTTAAAATTCATGAGCCCCGAATTAATTTGTTCACGTTTAACATCATTCAACCTTTCCATTTGCTTTCTAATATATTCCCATTCTTTTGAAATATCATTTTCATTTCCACTGGTTTCATGTTTATAGTTCTATGCCATGTATTATTATAATAATATACTAACTGTTGTATGATGGAGTCATGATTTCTCATCCCAGTATATCTGACCGTTAACCCCTAACGCATCTCTAAGAGTTCTCATTACCGCATCAACTATTTTATTATGAAACGTATATGGAGAGGATGAAAAGAAAAAATTAATTTGTGGGAAATAATGAGTCATAGTTGCCTGAAATCCTTTATCACCATCACCCCTGATATTATCTACTCTTTCATGATCTAGTAAGTATTGAATAGCTCTTCTTGTTTCCTGTTCTGTTTTCCCTTTCACTGGAATGCAATATAAATATCTAGTGTTAATGTTAATGGCAAATAAATAAGTAACGTTTCCTTTTGAATATTCTAAATGATCGATTTCGTATGAATATGGATATGGTGCAAATGAAGGGCGACTAAATTTTTCCTTTAACGGTTGAATTTTCGGGTCAATTGGTTTATTTAATATCTTGAAATCCTTTTTAAAATCGTTTTGTTTCTTTAATGTTTGAAATGGATATAATAAAGTGAATGATGAAGGATTAACTGAAGGAGGAGGCGGTACTGTCGTTGGAGGTTTTGGTGTTGCAAGTGGTTTAATTTTATCTGCTTTGATTTTGGATGATGAAGTTTTGGAATTCATTCCCCCCTTCATTAATTCTGGATGTATTCTATTCATTTGTTTTAAATATGCTGTATATAAAGGTTTGATATACTTTCCCGCTTCGAGTTTATGTTGAAGGATGAATTCCAAAAGTTGATCTTCATTTAAAAGTCGGGCTGAATATGGTTTTCTAATGAATCATAAATTAAAGCTTGTGCTTCATTTATGGTCTGAAGAACCTGGGCGTTTTGTTCCTTTAGCTGTTGAACATTTGCTACTTTAGACCTCGGCTTTGGTTTTTGTGGCTCAGGATTATATAAATTATATAATTCATCAATATCTTCTTCTGTTAATACTTTATTTTTGAAATCTTTCAACTGTTTAAGTTGTGATTTAGTTTTTCCCTTTGTATATTCATTATTTTTAATTTTGTCTTTAATTTCAGAAATTATTTTATTATGATATTTCAAAATTTCATTTTTATAATATGGATAATAATATTCCATATCATCACCCGTTATATTATTATTATATTTTTGGAGATATGATTTTAATTCATAATAACTAAGAAAATTTTGATTAAGTACTAAATCATCAATTAAATTTTTTAAATCTGTGTTATCCATTTATATAAAAATAAAATAAATGTTTAAGGGTGCCCACCTCTTTGAATCATAGTATCAAAACCATCATTAACGGTTCCTTCTTCTAAAACGGTATCAAATGGTGGCGGTTGTTGTTGCTGTTGATGCTGTGATGGGATTTAAAAAATTCGTTGTGGTTGATTATTTGGAATCTGAAAGTTAAAACCATTTGGTATAAATCGATTTGGTTCCTTTTGTCTCTTCTGTGGCATTTCATTAAAAATAAAATTTTAAATTGTATTAAATAAATGGCATACAACATCCATTTTCACAACATACAGCCTTAGTGTGTGCTCCTGTTAATGCAGTCTTACCGATTGTTAAGCGAGTCATTGACCCATTTTTAAGTTGTAAATTAATATTTTGACCATCAAATATCACTTTATCATTTATTATATCCAAATATTTTTTAGGTGTTAATTGCTTATTTTGTCTTAAACTAACACCCTTCATTTTTTGTGCAATCTTTTTAAAATCACTCCCATCAATTGAACCGTTGAATGATGTATAACATTTAGGACATAACGCCACCATGTTATCACCTTGTTTCTCAATTGCTAAACCCAATAACTTCTTCTCATGTGCTTTTTCTTCAGCTTTATTCTTTAATTTAGGTTTAAATTTCTCATCAAAACAGAAGAAATCAAATGGTGCGAATTTGAAAATGTTTTTATCATAAAATTGTTTATCGGTAACAATTGCTTGAAATGCTTGAGTGTTAGGAAGATTTGGGTCGCCAGCGATTGCCCAATAAGATGAATCAGTATCACCTTCAATGAAATGAAAACGATTAACATTCATGCATTTATACATAAAATCATAAATGAAAACCAAATACCAGTATTTAGCATTATCTAAAGTGAAGAATGCCTCTTGTAAACATGTATCACATCTATAAAATCTATCTTTAAGCATCACTTGATATGTATCTTCACCTATTTCTCTTATGTTTTTAAACTTATTTGACATACATGCAACGCGTGACTTCTGTGCATTCATTATTTTAGTCTTTGCGTAATTTTGTGTATTCATTGCATCGTAACCATATGATCCATTAAGTGAAATTTGCAAAATAAACTTTTTCCTTTATTTCCTTCTAATTCAGCCTTTTGTCTTTCGTTCATAAATTTGTTCGCAAATTCATTAAAACAAGTGTTTTTCGTAAATGTTAAAATTGATTGAATATCATCGATGATAAAATGAAATCTGTCTATTAGATACCAAAGATAATAAGAAGAAAATGGTTGATATTGGTTGTGTGTTGATGCTAATTGAGTTAATTTCCTCTGTTTCTGGTCAACTGGTAGATTGTTTGATTTCATGTAATTATACATAAAACTGCCAATTGTTTTTTCATCTGTGATAATATCTAAGTTTCTTATTATCGGTAAAAAGTTTATGTAATCATTAATGTATTTTTCATCAATGTGACCCTTTACTTCAGCCACGAATAAAGTATTTTTCTTCTTAATTATTCCCAATGCTTTTGCTTTCTTTGTTGCTGTATCACAAATGATAACACCATTCAATCTTCCCGGCATATACATTTTATGGTCAGTATATTGAATGAAATCATGAGGATTAGATGAAAATGATGAAGGATATAATGAATTAAAATCAACACCAACGAAATGAGTCATAATGTTGGTGGTGTCCTCATTTGATACAGTTTTAGTTTCTGGATTATATGAAAGTTTATTAATGTGCGTGATTCCTTTAAGATTTACTCTATGTTGAACATTTGATAAACCACCAGTAATTCCATTACGGAGAATGTGATAAGCTTCAACTGAATCTAAAGTCATTGGTAAATTATTTTTTAATGCATAATTTCTTAAATTGATTCTTAAACGTTGAACATCTTCATCTTTATTTGATTTTACGACATTGCAATAACAACACATTAACTGACAATTTTCTTTGGTATGTGGTTTTTCATTATCGATTCTATCCAATGTTGGTTTATTTGCATATGTAAACGCTTTACCACACATTTTGCATTTAGATGAAAGGATTAAATCGTGATAGTATTGAAAATCATCCATTGAAACATTATTTTTAGTATCCCTTTCTGCTTTTTCATCTTGTTTCTTATATGATTCAATTTTATATTTCCAATACTTTTTCGTTAATTCAAAACTTGATTCTATCTCTTCCTCAGGATATTTTTCATTAGGATTAAAGTCTTTATATGCTAAAGCGTAACGAATCATTGAAGCATTCGATGATAAAGAAAGATTATGAAGCATATCAATTTTATAAACAAATGTTTCTTCAATAATTTTATCAATTGGGTCAATCATAATTTCAACATCTTTATTGCAATAATGAATAAAATATTCTAATCTATTCTTAAAGTTTTTAGCATCATTGAGATATATTTGATAATCACTATCTGATATAGTTTCTTGATTAATGCTGAATAAAATGAATCTTGAGTGAATGGTTCCCTTTATATAATTCTTCTTCGTAATTTCCCATGTGATGAATTGATAAGGGAAAAAGGATTTAACACGTGATTTATTGTTTCCGAAATCTTGAGTGAATTGGTCTAATGTCCCACCCGCTATATAATTTCTGATGTCAATAAATCTCAATTCATATGGAACGTTTGTTTTCTTTACAATGATTTGCTTAAATTGTGAAGATGAACCCAGCATTGATTTTATTTTCCATTTTGCAGTGTTTAAATCACGAAGAATTAAATTTAAATCAAACTTTCCCGAATTAAAACCTATGATATTCACTTTATTGAATTCCTCATCTAGAAGTTCTTTAAATGCTTCCTTCTGTTTTTCATTTAATGTATGAGACAAAGTCCCCGCCGTTTGGTCTGAAAGACCTTCAGGACTCAAAGAGTCCGTTTGCGACTTCATTAATTCTTCATATTGTTCAATATTTGATTTAGCAACTAATGAACAGGTTGAAAATAAAAACTCAATCCAATCAGAAATAAAAGAATCACTCGAAGTTAAGCAAAAATTCCTCGTATATGTTTTATCATTTAATTTAACCGTTGATGATACCATGAATGGTTTTAAGTAAGCGTTCAAAGTTGCACACTCAGAAAGTTGTAATTCTTCTTTAGTCTCTAATGTTTCGAAGTCAAAAGTAATATAATATCTTGTCGGTTGATAATATTCCTGCAAATTATGAGCTAATAACCACTGATATATCTTCTGTTTCGTAATATGTGGTGCATATGGTTGCTGTGTCTTTTGCAATTGAACGTCTTGAATTAATCTTCCATTATTTTCTTTACATTTCTCACAATGCTTTAAAAATCTTCTTTGGTTTTTCCTTTCTGGATCATCACGGATAGAATAAACTTCTTCTTTACAATATGGACAAACTCTATAGCCGGTGAGTGCTTCAACGTCTGTTATTCTGTCAGCGTGAAGTTTTCCACATGGACTCTGTGTTAATAAAATATTTACTGTTTCAAATTCTGGATCTATCATTATTGATTCCACTAATGGAAAGTCTACCTTATTTATGTCCACGTCTTCTGGTTGAGGATCACAATAATAGAAATCAATATTAACATTTAACATTCTCGCTAATCTCTCACTTTCTGATGAAATGTCAAACCCTTCATATGAATCTATTGCAGTTAGTATACCTATCTTGGGTACGGCGGCACTGCGTTCCACCTTACCCAACACAAACGACAACACTAACTTAACCTTAAATATTTACAAAGCCGCCAACCACTTCACCTCACTAACATTTTCGCTAACGACTTCACTAATGAAAAAATAAACGTTCTCACTAACGTTCCCACTAATGTTCTCATTTACAAAAGTATTGAAGCGCTTCCCATTGCTGTGCTTCACACAATAGTTCATATTCTTCAGTATCGCTGCTGTCACTCCAATCGTCAGAGTCAAAATCACTGTCAAAAAAAATGTATGTAAGTTTTGACAAAGCTAATGAAACACGCTTACCGTTTGTATCTATTGCTTTTATATATCTCCCATTATGTTTGTTTCGTAAACGCTCAAACTAACTTTACCCTTTCTCCCTCGTATCTGATAGAATGTATTTTCACGAGGAACGAAGAACAAATTCTTGAACTCATGACCGTTGTAGTTTTTATCTCAATAGTTTTCGTCATTTATATAAAATAAAATAAAAAATAAACTTAAAAATAAACTTAAAAATAAATGATATCACCACCCTCACACGTATGAAAACATAGCACAAAAATAAATTTAGGTGAAGTGGTGAAATCTCACCTCTTTTTTCACCCGGTTTTCACCCTGTTGAATTCATTGCTTTATAACTCTCTTCCTTTCTCCAACTCTTCTAACTTCTTCTTAAGTTCAGCAATGTTGTCCTCATGAAGTTTAATCTTTCTCAAAATTCCTTCTTTATCTAATAGTTGCTTTATCTTTCTAAACTGAACTCTACCATCCTTCATAGTATGAATGTAAAAACCTTCTGGAATAGTTCCTGATTTAATGTATTCTACCAAAAACTTTTGTTTCATTGCTTCAGTGACTTTAGTCGTCATTTCAATCAAATAAAAATTTTAATATTACATAAAAATAACGTTATTTTTTTCAGTAAGGAAACGCAGGAGTTTTACGATTTATTTGAGGAGTAGGTTCTGGTTTAAATGTTGGAGTCGGTTTAGGAGTTGACTTTTGAATAGGAGTTTGTACTTCCATAGGTTCAGGAGTCATTGAAGGTTTTTGCTTGTGAAGGCGTTGGTTTTGACGTTGGTTTTGGCGAAGGTGTTGGAGTTTGTTTAACTTCAGCTACTTCAGTATTATTTACAACATTTGCTTTATTTCTTTTCAACATCATAACTGCTCCTGCTGTAGCTAGCAAACCTAGTGGGAGACCATATCTTATATAAGGACTTGACCAAATGCTATTTTTGACAGGAGCTGGTGGAACACCTAACCTTGGTGAGACTGCTCTTTGCCATTGTGCAGCTCGTAAGAAATATTCAATAGGTGCTCCATAATCGTTGGTAAAGTTTGTTTCATAGATGGTGAAGGTTCACGAGAGCTTGATGAAGAACTCATTTATAAGCTTTAAAATAAACGTTCATCCTTTATTCCTCACTGTCGTCCGTAGCTAAGTTATAGTCATCTAATCTTATTATTGGGATTCCATTAGCACGCACCTGAATGGCAAAGCAACAATCCCTCATAAATCCAATAAGTGGCTTTGGTACATTTCAGTTGCTAGTTCAATAGGTCCTTTAACAGACAATTTGTATGTTATTGGAGCAGTAGATGTTTGACCTTGCTGGAAGCAAAAGTCCACTTCTGTTGGAAAACCACATAAGAAATGTGTGTTGTCATAGCTATCCCATTTTATGTTCCACACTACCATCATCCACCAATGACCTCATAACATCTTCATTAAATCCTATCATATCATTGTTTGTATTGCAGGCGTTCGCAACCATTTCATAAAATACAGGTCCATATGATTTTTCAGGTTCTGCAGGCATATTTCCATAAGCTCCCATGGAAAGCTGAAGATATTTAAACTTAGGGTTCTCAAAATTAACATAATAGTTGTCTTTCTTTCTAAATAGTGCCCAAATACTTTTAACATTAATAGGCGTATAAGCTGCTGTAAATGTTGCACTTGAACTATCTGTATTCTTTGAGAATGAACCGTCCATAGGAATCCAATCCATAACTTTAACAGGAAAACATAAAGCCTCGTTTGTATAATGTTCTACAAGTTCTGTATAAATGTTAGGGTCTAAAGAGAATGATTTTGGATGAATGAAACATTCATTAAAATCCATCTTTGTTCGAAATAGTTGCTGGGTTACAGTTGTAATAGTAACTGTTCCACTAGCTTCTACTGACTTCGTTATCATAGTGAATGGTTCATTCATGGAACAAATTTATTTGTCGGTGGATTGAATCTGAAGCAAATGCAACTTTAAGAGTTGGATTGAAAGCAATGATATCATTTACAGATATAGATGTGCATTGTAAGGCGTCGCTACTGAACTTTACTTTAAGCTGAATGTTTCCTGCAAAAGCTGGAATAATCGAATAGCTTCTAATGGAAGGAATCTTCTAACAGGAATTCTTAAACGAAGCTTAAAAATCAAATGATTTTCCTGCTGTAATTGGACCACTAACAATTTGTCCTGTTCTGCATGTTCCCGAATGACTCCATACATCTTCATGTCGAGTCTTTGAGAAAACATCTACTTTCTTTATTTGTTCGTTTGTAGTTTGTGAGTTTTGAAGTTATATATGCTTCTTCTCTTGCGTTGTCTGAGAATATACGATACGACCATTTGCAAGGATTTGATATCCAGCAATTGCATAGAAAGCGTCATCGAAACCAATCCAAAATCCTGGTGGGTTTGTTTTATTGGAACCTGAACCAATTTCTTTATCTGCAATAAATTGACCTTCCATTTTATACGGAATGAATGTATTGTAAAGGTCCAACATATTTTCACCAGGAGGTGAGAGATTGAATGTTACCCATGTGTTATCTTTAGCAGTTCCAGGTTGTGATGGAATCTTTGCGTCAGAATATTTTCTATTAGTGTCACCAATTTGAACTGCATTGTCTATGATATCGAAATATGAGCGAATCTGATGAATATGCTCTGCTGGAGTAAATTCGTTTAGCTGTTCGTTCTGCATGTATTTACTTCGGATAAAAATATCTCTTTACTTCATTATTCTCACTCTTCTTCTTGGCATTCGTGGTGGAAGTTGTTTCTTGACATTTTCAATGAACTGTACATTCTCTTTTGTCTCAACTTCTTTCACTGGTGGGTCAGGGTTCTTTGACTCGGTTTGCTTTTCAATGAAATTCACGAACTTTGCAATAAGCTCTTGGTTCGTTATTGAAAGTACATCTGGCTTCTTTTCTTCTTGTTCTATTGACTTTTCAGTTTGAATAGAAGGTTTTATATGGGCTTCGTGGACTTCACCCTTGCCATACACCTTAATGTTGTAGCTTTCGGCATTCGCTAATGGAACCTTTCTTTTTCTTACGTATATTTTACCATCTTTACTCTGACTTACGTAATAGAAAGGATGTTGTATTCCTCTTGCGTCATTTAATATAATAGACTCTCGCTCTGATTTTGACAAGCTCATTTTACATCGGTTAAAGTTTTAATTTTGTTTTTTATCTGCAGTCAAATGACTCAGACAAGCCCTACGGACAAGACCCAAGGGGTCATAGATGTTGAAGCATTGAAGAAAGAAATTCGTGAGCAAATTTTATCCGAACTGAAGGAACAAAAACAAGAACAAAAGCCAGAGAGACCAAAGAGAAAACTTAGTGAAAAACAACTTGCTGCATTAGCTGCTGGAAGACAAAAGAACCCACGTTTGCTGGCGAAGAAAGCTAGAGAAGAAGCTGAAGCAAAGAAAGAGTAAATGGTTTATTTTTATCCGAATTAAATGTATAGACAAATACCTTTATCTGTTGCGTTCAGTAGTGAAAACCCTGACGTCAAAATAAAGGGGAACAGAGTAACGTTTAAGTTTCCAACAGACTGGATTGTGAACATAAATGAAGAGAAGTACATTGGCATATCAAATATGTATATAACACGTGCTTTCAGAAAGGTTGACTTTATACTTCAAGTCGAGATAGAAAATGACGAACAGTCTTTAAGCGCCCAAAACATTCACATATACAAATACTTTAAAGACGATACAACATTGCAACAATGTATGATTTCATTTAATGAAATGTTCGAGAAAAAGTTTAACATTGAAGTACAAACTTTACAGCCTTTACGTGAGTTTCTTGCACAACTGAAAGAAGAAGGTAGTCAGCCACAACTTATAGACTTTCATTATGAATTTAATGAAAATGAAGATGGAACACATGACTGTCAGTTTGTTGTATTCTCACCATTCAATGAAGTCGCTAAAGAGAAATAAAATCCATTACGTATAAGATTTCAAATCTCTGAACCAAGTGATGATTTCAAGAATGTTTTCAATTATGATGCAATGCTTCGAGGAAAAATGAATTTTCAAAGATTGTAACACCTGCATTTGGGATAGAAGCAAGCTTATTATATTCAAACTTAAGTAAGGGAGTTGAAAATGAGTTCATTGGTCATACAAGAACTTCACCACTTCCTAACCCTAAATACTATAAATTAACTGGCTTCAATCGTGAGTTTTGGATAGACATGTTCTCCACTCATGACCATAACTGCCCAGTGTTCTTACCTCCAGACCATAAGGACTGTCTCTACATTGAAGCACAACTCTTAAACTCTACCATCGCAGTATTGTAAATGACCACATGGCTTCGCCCTTGCCGCTAGCGGCTTATTTTTATCACGAATGACCTCATTGCTGACAAAAATAAATGACCTCAGAACTTCAACTTACGAATAAAGTTTGTTTTAGTCGTTATTGAGAAGTTAAACTTCTCTTCAAAGCAAGGTTGACATGACTTACAAAGTCAAATCCAATCTCTTTGACCGTCATAAAGTGCTTTGAAAGTTTCATTAAACTGAACTCAGAGTCTTTGTCATTATGTTCCTTGCGGAACCATTAAACCTTTATCTTCATCATAGAAACACTGAACAGAGTCAGGAAACATTTCATTAGCGGTTAAAGCAATAACATCTTGCTTCACGCCTTTCATTCTGCAGTGAAATGCAACTTCATTTAAATCATTCGTGAGTAAGTCTATGTAAGTCTTCTTTCCACAAAATATTGACTTGTATGCTAAACTTTGTTTATCTTTTGTGATTTCTGCAAAGTCGCTATGAAATTGACCAAGGTTTTTACCAATGAGAACTCTTCCATAACGTTTCTCAAACTCTTCAGCTAACAGTGGGATATCTTCATTGTAGAGATGCATACTGTCCGTATCGCTATAAAAGATGTCCATTCCTAAGTCCTCACAGTACAGAATACTTCACACATTATTCTCTTCGACATAGACAGAATGTTAACACCAAGTGGACAGAAGTTAAAGTGTCTGCAAATGCTTTTCGTTAGCTTGAAAATAGTTTTATCTGAACCATCCAAACCTTCGAACTTCACTATATGGTTGTAGTTCTGATGGCATATCTTATAGCATCTTTGTCATCTACTATGGTTATTTTTAACTCAATAGGAGATAGAATAGTTTTGCCATAAATACTGTTCAGAATGAGCTTTATATTTTCTTGCAAAGGATTTCCTTCTTTCTTATACTTTAACCTTAACTCAAACAACTTCTTACTTCATCTCTTATTCTAAGGTTGCTGTGCATTCGCTAAGTTCTGTGCGTCCATTTAATATTAGATAAAAATATCTCTTACGAGTACATATACTGAACATTTGCAGCATTGGTTCATCTTCATATTCTCTATATCTTTCTGCCACGTCAAAAATAAGTAAATGACACAATGGAAAAAACCTAAAACAAGTAGTCCTATTTCAAACCACATTTACTTACTAGTAAAATTTCTTTGTTATGACACTTTTTCCCGTTTATAGGACCTCTCCATATTCTATCTTATCGTATCTAAACTCATAGTCATGTATGTCCTCTAACCATCTCATGACACTTTCCAAACCACTTTTATCGGATGTAAAGTAAAAGCATGGGATGGTTATGTAAAACGTCTAAAGTTTCTAAAGAGTCTCTCAAAGTCCAGTCTACTTGGTATTGAAAATCCCATGTGTTAAAGAACGGCGGGTCCACTATAAAGAAAACATTTTCCTTGTCTTTATATTTTTCATACAACTCTGTCCAATGACATCTCACAAACTCTATACCCTCAATATATTTTTCTATGTCCTCTTTGAAAACATTTGTATAGTTAAGATATAAAACTTTTGACATAAGTTTTCAATGTCATGAACTCTTATAGCACCACTATATAATATCTAGCAGAATATACTATCCAGTCAATATACTCTGCCTTTTTCAAAACCTCTCTGACAGTATTTTTCTTATCTAATGGTATACGTTCCATCTTACCTATAGGTATCTTTTCTTTCAACTCACTCAATATTTTGTTTGTGTCTGGTATATGTTTGAGACGGTTCATATAGTTGTCGAAGTCATTGCATATAATCTTTGAGTCAGGGAATATTGTATTGCACAAATGAGATATATAGAAACTTCCACCGAACAAGTCTACAAATGTTAGACCATTCGGTAGTTTCTTATAGTTCTCTCAATAGAATATCTTTACATCTACTCTTATTTCCAAAGAAGGGTAACGGTGGTTTTGTAAAATTCATTTTATATATAATAAAAATGTTTTTCCCTGAAAAGTGACAGAAAAGCGGTTTTTGACAGATGTTTTATTGTGACTTCTTCGTAAAGACTTTGTTGAGATTTCTTCGTAAATGAGTGTAAATGACCCAAAAATATATTTTAGGTAGAAGGTTAGATATAACCTCTTTTCTAACCTCTTTTCTACCCTCTTGAATTTTCATGAATTTCTTCGTAAAAGACTTTGTTAAGACTTCTTCATCTAATTTCTCATGAACTTTCTTGTCTATGTTTTGTTGAGATTTCTTCGTAAAGACTTTGTTGAGATTTCTTCGTAAATGACCCTAGTAGTATATTTTTTGGTGTAAATTTCATGAAAATTCAAGAGGTGAAAAATAGGTGAAAAACAGGTTATATCTCACCTCTTCACCTAAAATATATATTTTTGGTGTAAATTTCATGAAAATTCAAGAGGGTAGAAAAGAGGTTAGAAAAGAGGTTATATCTAACCTTCTACCCTAAACATTATTTTTGGTTGTAAATTTCATGAAATTCAAGAGGTAGAAAAGAGGTTAGAAAGAGGTTATATCTAACCTTCTACCCTAAACATTATTTTTGGTGTAAATTTCATGAAGAAATCTCAACAAAGTCTTTACGAAGAAGTCTTGACAAAGTCTTTACGAAGAAGTCTGACAAAACATTTACGAAGAAATCTTGACAAATTCAAGAGGGTAGAAAAAGAGGTTAGAAAAGAGGTTATATCTAACCTTCTACCCTAAACATTATTTTTTCTGATTTTACGAAGAAGTCTTGACAAAACATTTACGAAGAAGTCTTGACAAAACATGAAAAACTATATAATTGTGAAAAGTGAAACATTATATAATGTTTTCGACCAAGAAGACTAACAATTTCCGAATAAAAACTTCATATACTAAACATCTTCGGGCTAGAAGGCACGAAGTGCCTGGAAGCCCACTACCTTTTTTTTTTTTTTTTTTTTTTTTTTTTATTTTAATCTAATTTCGATTTTTTATAAAATCGCGTACTTCTAATAAAACGCGATTTCAAAAACAATCGCGATTTTTTTCTGTTCGCAATTTTTCAGAAGTTCGCGATTTTATAAAAAATCGAAATTTTTCTTTGCGATCGAGATTTAAAAATTCGGTTGCGATTTTGCCTATTGAGGTGGAATTTGGTAGTAATTCGGAGGTACTTGCTGGAACTGAGGTTGCTGAGGAGACTGTTGTGGTTCTGCAGCTTTCGGTTCTTCTGGCTTTGGAAGGCATTCAGGAAGAGGAACGTCAGTCATCCGTTTGTGTCCTGTCGGAAGGAAAAATTTTTCCTGTCGGAAGGAAAAACTTTTCCTGTCGGAAGGAAAAACTTTTTCTGTCGGAAGGAAAAACTTTTTCTGAAGTTCGACCAAAAAGTTCTCAATTTTCGAAAATTTGAATGGTTTACGGACGGACAACTGGAAGAGTTCTTCCTGTCAGAAGGAAAAATTTTTCCCTTTGTCGGGAAAATATTTTCCTGTCGGATGGAAGAACTTGGAATGCAAGAAAGACTTGACGAGGCAATTTACCTAATTGAAATTAACGACTGCGTAAAAGACTACTTGCGCAAGGTAATGAAGCCCAAGGTCAAGTTCATCACTATTTCTGGAAGGTCTACACTTCAGCTCAAGACTTCGACTGGAATTCCAATTCAAATACCAGACGGGACAGCCTACGATGGCATAAAGGACGCCAAAAGAGAAGCTCTTGTTAAGTTCCTAAACAAACGTCCTTGGATAAAAATACCAAACAAGGAGAACCCCCTACCCCATATGAAATTGGCAATTCAGTCTCTCCTTCACTTCTCTGGTCAGCCGTTCTACATAACCTGTGAAGGCGACATTCAGCCAGTTCAGTAAACATCTCATTTTAACTCACTTTTTTTATGTTTTTACTCACACTCGTACTCACCAGGTATGAGTACAACTATTTCAACTGTGAACCTTGTAGTGACCGGTCTTCCTGCAAATGCAAGTTCGGTCAATACACAGTTTATGGTGGCAAGAAAGACAGTGGGGAATGCGCGCTCGAGAGAGAATTGAAATTCCAGACCCAACTCCAACAAGAACTCTCAAGTTGCCAAAGACTCATGTGAAGAAGAAGCCTTCTGGTAAGTTTCTTATAGCCATATACATGGCACGTTTAGAGTAAAAACATTTTTTTTTATTTTTTGAATGAAGCAAGTTAAATTCGTCCCACACCAAACTCAATGGACCGATGAAGAGTTTCAAGCTATGGTTGAAGGTGTTGAGAACGACATAGACGGCGAACTTGAAGGAGCTCAAACCACAATTGCAACCAAAATTGCACAAGTCAAAGAAGAGATAGCTCCACTTAAAGCTACCAAAGCTACTCTTGACCTCATGGATACTTACCGTTTAGATGTCAAGAGAGGAATAAGACAATTAAAATTAAAACTCTTAAATTACGAAGCTATACTCCAGAAGTTAGCAGAGATGAGAAGACTTTACCAGAGCTACTTACATGTAAGGGACTTACCTTCAAGCAGTCCGACCAAAGATGAATTTTCTGACATTGTCCCAATTTTGTCCGAAAGTCAGCTCAGATGTTTTGAACTGCTCCCAATATATCCAGAATATGAAAATTTGCCTGAACTCTTTCGGTTCCTCAAAAAACGTTTTTTGGTTCTCATGTTCGAAACTTTTATCGGAAGAGACAACAAACGTTCAGAAGAAGAGCAAGATATTATTTTAAACTTGTTGTATGACTTAACTGTCATAACCAGCTTTTTGAAGTAAAACCGTCATTCTCAAACCACTTCATTTTTTCGATGTCCGAACAAGCACCGAAGCCGAACACAATGGCAGATGTCCTTTCAAGGTTGCCAGACAAGCGCCCAATTCAAATTCAAATTGCCCAATTGAAAGCTCATCTGACAAACACCATTAAGACTCTCCAAAGTAGTCTTATGACAGAGATGAAGGAACTTAAAGCCGATGTCCTCATGAACCAAGCTTCCAATGAGAAATGCCTGAACGATTTCGCGGAAACCTTGCGCAATTACGAGAGAGAGAACCGAGACCTTGCCAGACTCATCTACCGTTTCTTCGAAGAGATAGACGCCATCTGGAAGGTACTCGGAAAGGACAGAACATGCAACACCGTACTTCGTGAGTACCAAATTGAAGAAGGAATTGTCGAGGAAGAAGAGGAAGAAAAGAAACACGAAGAAGAAGAGGAAGAAGAAGAAGTTCCTGAAGCCGCTACATGGGCAACCCTTGTTGCCGATGACGGTTACGAAATTTCCCAACCCTACCCATTCCAAATCCGCAACAAGGAGACAGGCAAGGTTCTTACCCCAGTCCTCAACAACTTGAGACACTTGAACCTTAACCTTCGGAATCGCGGTTCAATCTCCATGGGCAAGCTTGTCGCAATTCAATGGGTTCCAAATCCAGACAAGAAGACGAAGGTCAGACACATTGACGGTGACAAGCTCAACAACCGTAAGGAGAACCTCGAGTAGTTCTAAGAGTAAAAAAAATTATTTTAGGGGGAAACCCCAAGTAAATTTAAGTTTTTATTTTTGGTATTCGTACCAATTTTGGAATGTGAAGACCACATCCCAACCTCTGTACGTGAGTCTTGGGTCCACGTCTAAGACCCTTCTGTAGCAATTCCAAGCCCGAGCAAATTCAATTGTCAACCACTCGTCTCCTCTGTAGTCTTCAATCCATTCTTTGAAGAGACGGTCGAGTTCGGGCTTGGAATATCTCTTGCCTGGGTCCGAGACCAACATTTGGTTGAACTGGACGAAGCGCTCAGGGATGTACGCCATTAAAAAAAATGTCACTTTTTTTAAAATAAATTTTTTATTTCATGCAATGTTTAACTATTTCACCATCTTCTTTAACACCCCAGTACTTACGCTTGGAGAGGACATGAACTTCGGTGAAAATTTTGTCCAATTTGAATTGACCCATCTTTTCACCGACCATTCCCATTTCAATGAGTTTGTTGTATCCTTCTTCGTTCGTCATGAGTGCGTCAATGTTCTCATAGTAAACCTTGACTTTGGATTTGACTTCGGAGAAGAATTTGTTGTACTCGTCAAGGACTGCTTTTGCGAACTGAGGGTAAGACCAATGTTCGACAATAGGTTTTAATGTGGTTACTAAGCCACTTTGACCTTGAGTGAATTCGTACTTCAAAACAAAAGGAGAAAACCTTTCAACAAAGTTGTCGACCTTCTCATAATGTTTACTCTTCATCTCTTGAGGTTTCTTAATGGAATATCCCCATGTCGAATTCATAAGCAATTTGAGTGTCATTGCAAGTTTGGGGTTTGAAGCTTTCCTAATATCATACAGTTGTTGTATGACTTTTCCAACTGTATAGTTCCTTCCCGGGAACTCACCATCTTCGTTTGGAATTCCAGTCGGAATATATTGGACAAACCTCATGTATGCAGCGTTAAGGTCGACATAGTATATCTTTTCATCTGAGTCGAACTTGTCGCAACCAATTGGTCCAGTTTGTGGAAATTCAAGTGAGTCTCTTATCTTCTGAGAAACTTCTCCTGTTATCTCATAAACATCGTCGAAGCAACCTGTTTCATATAAAACCTTCTGACCTAACTCAGATGCTCTCCAATACAATTTGACGTCAATTGGATGTCTCAATGGAAGTTTATTTATAGCATCTTGAAGTTCTTGCAACCTCATTGGAAGTTCTTCTGGTTCAGGCTGGTATCCGAACATACCAACCCCTTGTGGAACTGTGTACTTCTTTTGTACTAGAACTTTGTCTGGAACAACTTTTGGTCTTGCTAACAATGAAAAGTTTGTTTCGTCTTTTGGTACAAAACTTTCTGTAAGGTTGTCATCTGGAATTGGTTCCAACAAACCTTTCTCGAAAAGAATGTTTACAGCTCTGACAATGTTGCACTTACTTTTACCAAAGAATGGGTTTGTAAGACTTTCGTTCAACATGAAGTGGTTGTGGACAATTACAATCTTCAACCATGGTAAGTCTTTGTCAACAACATAGTCGTCATGTGAAGAACCTTTAGCTGTAGGTATGTTGACTCGGATATTGACATTTGCCAACGGTGCAATTTTTGCCAATTGACCTCTGAGAATGTACCTTGTCTTCACACATGACTCAAGATACTTCATCTTCTCTTCTGAAACAAGACCAGAGTTCCTGAGACATGTAAGAATGCAAGGTTCATTGACAATTGTTTCAATTGAATTGTAAATTCCATACCTTGTCAAGTCAATGTCAGACTTATTTATGAAGGGGAAGTATCCAGCATGTTGTCTGACTGCTTGAGGGTTAGGTTGGTACCATTCGAACTTGACACTTGCAATTCCTTCAATTGCATTCAAAATGTCTGAGTCGGAGTCAACCATTTGTTCTCTCTTTGTAGTCTTGAAAGCGTCAAGAAGTTTTGCGGCTGTTTGTTCATTGCCATGTGCATAGTAAATGTGACCATCCAAATCTGTTATGGTCAATCTGAGATTGTGTCCTTTCTTATTTCCGTTTGTATGGCAGCAAGTACACCCATGAAGCCTTCTTTGTTCTTTCCTTCGTCAAAGTTTACTGTAAAGGTTCGACCAGATGTAATTTGACTTCTAACTTCACGATACTTTTCATATGCATATCTTGTTCTTTCCATGGGAGCATGTGCGTCTTCACCTTTTCCTTTTTTCCTTCTCAAAGGATGCAATTGTTCGTCATGTTTCCAGTAGAATCTGGCAAAGCCGTCGTGTCCTTCAACTTGAGGTTCACTAACATCGAAAGGCATGTCCATAAGACGTTCTTCTTCTAACCTCTCTAGTCTGTTTGGATAATTGGCACGTGCTGTTTCCAAATCCATTTCGTAGCGAAGACCAGACAATTTGTCATAGACTTTTATGGGTCTTCCCTTCCTATATTTAAAATTCTTCGAAACTCTCAACCATATCTTTGTAACTCTGCTTTTATTCTAGCAGACTTTCTATCCATTCTATATGGGGGCATTTTTATAAAAATAAAAAAATATTTTTTCTTTACTTTACATAACCGCCTGCTGCCATAAGTCTTTGACGCCAACCCATACCAGCTAATGAAGGTTGACTTGGTTTAGTTTGGAAACTAAACTTTGTTTTGGTTTATCTTCAGTTTTTGGTTTTTCTTCTTCTATCGGTTTTTCGTCACTTTTCGGTTCCTCTGACTTTACTTCACTTGCAGGAACAGTTTGTGTCGTCAACATCTTCATAAATATCATATGCCATTTGTTTTTGTTTTCCTTTCAACTTTTTGTGTTTGTTGTAAAGTTTAGAATATTTCGACTCTAAGTCAATGAGATGTTCTATAATGAACTGTTGGTCAGTGAAGTAAACTTTCCATCTGTTGTCTCGAAAGCTCCTTCAGACTTCAATATTTTATTTGTGAGAGTCTGTTTCTTTTTTGAGATACTAGCCGTTCTATTTCTATGAAAAGTGACTTTATAGTTAGGGTTTGTATTTCCAGACCTGGCACTTTCTATTATTGAATTTTTCTCTTCATCTGTAAGTTCTTTGACAGGTTTTGACAATGGTTCTGAACTTTTTGTTTGTGGTGTCAAATCTACCGTTTCAACTTCTTCGGTCATTTCATCTCAGTAAAAAATTTTAGTTTGGTTTGTTTTCAAATGGTTGTTGTTGTGGAGGTGGGATGGTTCCTTTAATAATATCATTCAGTTTCACATGCTGAGCCTGACTATATGGTATCGGTTTAAATGCTGGAAGCCGACAAATCCATCTTGAACTCATTTGTCTCAATGCTGCATTGTTCATTTCATCTCAATAAAAAACTTTACATTCCCCACGTTTGAGACGGTTGAGGTTGGTTATTGTTTACCCACTGTTGTGCATGGTTATATCCTCTGTTAAAGAATCTTTCACCTTGGTCCATATAGTGTCCTGCTTGGTTATAGTAGTCATTTGCTTTGTTATAATAGTTTCCTGCTTGTCATCCTACATTGTCCATCCATCCTTGCACTTTTCCTCTTGTTTCAGGATTTGGAATAAGATTTGTTGCATCTCGTGCTACATCCCAACCTTTCTGTACAGTTTGTATAATAGGTTGTGCTTTCTCTTTCAGTATACCTAATGTACTCAAAATCTTCCTTCCAACTCCAAATGCACCTCTGGCTATTGTTCCCACTGCGGGTAAAAATCTAGATGCGACTCCTGCTAATGCGCCAAATAAACCCATTTCTTATAGGGTAAAAAATGACGAATCCGAACAAGGATCCCTATGTTTCTAAAGCGACAAAGAAAGCACTCATGATAAAAATCTTTAGTTCAACACCAAATGCTTGGTTTATGGATATCTTGGAAAACATTCCGAGAGTTAGAACAGATGGACCTCCATACTGGTTAATATTTGTTGGTCAAAACACAAGATACTGTGAAGCCATACCATTATGGTCCAAAAATATTTTAGATGTGAAAACTGCTTTGACAATATTCGTTGACAAATACCATCCAACAAAACTGACATCTGACTGTGAAAGTTCTTTCAAATCAGATGATATTAAAAACTATCTGCGTTCAAAAAATGTAAACCAATATTTCATTGTCGACCAAAACCATTCTGCTCTTGGTGTCATTGACGGATGTATAAAAATGTTAAGAGACTTAAACCAACCACAAGGTGGTGAAGCAAATGAAATGTCATATGACGACAAGTATAGACACTTCTCCATGGCAAAGATGAGACAAGTTTTAAATATTTACAATAACCGTAAACAAAAAGGTTTGGGAAACCACTCCCCCGAAGAAATGAAAAACAACCCTGACTTAGAGAAAGACTATATATTTAATAATTTAGTCAAAAGAGACAAACAAGAAAGAATGCCGGGCTTCAAACTTCAGAAAGGTGACAAAGTAAAAATAGAAATACCTAAACGCGACCCATATGAAAATACTATTGACTATGACAACAATGGGAACTCGACAGGTACTCACATTCGTGTTCGTAAAAATAGAAGAAAGTATACAAGAGAATATTATGAAGTTTTAGGCAAACATGGCAAAATGTACACACTGCAAGCAGAAGATAAAACTACTATTGTCAGACCTCGTTTCAAACTTGTCAAAGTTCAAGGTGGTATACTTTCAAAGACAGTTCCTAACAAATATAAGACAACTCCTGACGAATATGCTAAAGAAGTTGAAAATGACGACTAAGCAATTCTATACCATGCGTAAACTGTCATGTAAGGTGGCATGTATTCTTTACTTTGTCCCGTTGTTTGCGTATATCCTGAAACGAAATGTGTATGGTTTCCTTCTCCCTGCGTGTCATTCCAGTAACAATTTATAGCAAACTTAACGTCCTCTTTAACATCATATCCTTTACCTTTTGTCATTCCTGACCAATCCCAATATCTATGCTTATGCCAACCTGCTTGAGATGTACTTAAATCTATGTAATGACTGTGTGCAGGTAAATTTTCACCTGAAATCGTTTTACTTCCACCTGTTTCCTTTGAAGAGTTTGCACAATACAAAAACCTGTCGACTATTTGTTCCCATGCACCAACACCAAACATTACTTGAGGACCTCTTGCATCCATAGATGTATAAATAGAACCTACTGGGTTCATTAAATCAAACATATGAGATATTATAGGATTGTCTCTTTTGAACTTAAAATATAGTGCAACTATTTCAGGTTTCTTCTGGTTTGTGTCAGAATATTTTTTATAATATAATCTTATGTTTTCAGGGTAAGTAAAGTCTTGACTATAATATTTATTTCTGTCATCTGTATAATAATATACTATTCTCGTTTTTTCTATTGCATTATATCTTTTATATCTATAATAATCTAAATATAATGTTAGCTTTTGTTCATCTACATGTGGTGTTCTGTCGTCATCTCCATAGTCATAATAATGTGGTGCCGGAGCTGGGTCAGGTAATATCATATCCACCATTTCATAAACTCTTAAATATTTCTTTTGTTCGTCTCCATATAAGTTTAAGTAGCAGTTGTTGTCTAATGGAACTTTAACTTGTGTACCATCATTCTTTTTATAGCTTACATACATTTCATTGTTATTTTTCGGAATGAGTTTATACCGTGTACCATTTTCTAAGGACTGTACCAACTGCCATCTAAAATATTTATTTTCTTCATTGACAGAAAAGTCACCAACAATAGTTTCAATATTTTTTGTTCCTATCAAACTTTGGTATATTTCATTGACATATGTTTTATCTGCTTTATTTTCAAGGCTAACGTTTAAGTCTGTTATTTCAGAAGATGTATGTGTATGTCCAACGGCACTTTTCCTGTTTAAGGTTTCTTGTAAGTTTGTAATATTTGCAATGGTATGTGTATGTCCAACGGCACTTTTCCTGTTTAAGGTTTCTTGTAAGTTTGTAATATTTGCAATGGTATGTGTATGAGTCTTATCTGCTTTTGTCTCTAATGTTTCCTTAAGACTTGGTATTTGGTTAATATAATGTATATGAGTCTTTTTAGAATATTCGTTTTCAGCTCTTGTCACTTCACTTGACATTTTATTGTCAACATATGTTTTGTCTGCTAGTTCAGGATGAGTATGTTCTTTTGTTGCATAAGCATTGTTAGCTCTTTCTTCTTCTTTTGCTATTGCATCGTCTACATATTCTTTGTCAGCTTTGTTGTCAACATCTGCTTTCAAAAGAAGTTCATTTATAGGTTTCTCGTTTAAAGTTCCTTTTGTTGGATTTATACAGACAATATTGTTCTTATTGTCTTGAAATAGAAACTCATCTGTTATAGGGTTTAATGTCAGTTTTAAGTCACCCCCTTTCAATGACTCAGATATCTTAGAATAGTTTGAAAAGTTTGTTGTGTTCTTATTTAGAGCTTGCATAATGAGTTGTCGGTTGTGTTGTATTTCTCTCATAGACGCTGTTTCATTTGACATTTTTATTATAGATAAAATATGCTTCCAATAGAAAAAGAAAATTATAGAGTTGCTACAACTAAACCATTAGATGAACTTTTTACTAATGTCGGTCAAAAGTTTGAGACAGGTACCGTAAAGCATGAAGGCTATCGTTTTGACTACCCATTAAGATGGTTAAGAGACTCATCCGTCACAAAAGCTATTAGCTTTCGTAGAATGAAGTTCATTTCAGAAGCCATACATGGTTTCCCATTTACGGTCGGTTTTGAAGTTCGATACTATAACAAAGAAAAACGTATGTATGAGAAATTTGAACAAGGAAAACTTTTACAAGTTAGTTTGCTTGTAAACTTAGAAACAACTCTTCAAGCTTTTCAAGAAAAAATAAACGATATCTATATTGAATATGCAAACCAGTTTAACATTGACGAAGGAGAATACCATCTCGATATTATTTATGACAGGAAAAATGCAACTGTTAAAATCAATAAAATAGAAGACCTTGGAGAAAACGTTTATATTTCTACAAAATATAACAACTTGGCATGGTATAGATTTATGAGGATGTTAAATCAGCCTGCAGCATATCCAGTACACCCGGACTATTATGAAGTCGAAAAACCTAATGGAACATATGAAAATATTTTCGACCCAGATGCTATTATTGTTCATGCTTCATTTTCTGGTGCGCAAAACTCTTTCTTATGCTTGGCAAATGACTTTTACGAAAAACCTACAAAGTTATACGAACCACCAAGTGGAAGTATTTCAGACTTTCAAGTATGGTTTACTACAGATGGAAGAAAAAGAATAATTCCATTATACCATGCGTTTTACTTAGAACTTAGTTGCATATACAACTACTATCGAACGATAAAAATATAACTTTTTAATATACCGGTTGTGGTTGCCAACTTGACTGTGGTGCAGGTTCAGGCTGTTGTATTACAGGAGCTTGTTCTTCTGGTTCAGGGTCTTTAGGTATAATACCAACAAACTGACCTACTCTTTTACCAATATTTTTGACACCGTTCCATACTCCTCTTCCGACAGATTTTATTCCATTCCATATACCTCTTCCAACATTTCGAAAGAAGTTTCCTATCTTACTGAAGAAACCCATTTTACTATATGTAAAAATCTAATGTCCGCCTAGTCTCTTACGTTTCCTGTTGAGTTCCATAGCATTCTTTAACTGGAGCTCATACATTCTGTTTCTCCTCTGGTAGAAAACATATTCTGGGTCAACTCCTGTGTTCGCGTCATCTGCATAAAGTTGTTTATATCCCACTTCAGGGTTTGTATAAAACTCTTTCCATCTCATATTTGCATACCATGGTGGCAAACCTAACGCAGCGTCATTTGACATGGCAGTTTGCATTTGTACATCTGTTGGCACTTGACCATAGTTTGCCATTGCAGTTTGTATTCTAACTTCATTTGGAATATTCTCTGGGTTTGGTTGTCCAGGTTGCTGTGCATTCGCTAAGTTCTGTGCGTCCATTTAATATTAGATAAAAATATCTCTTACGAGTACATATACTGAACATTTGCAGGCATTGGTTCATCTTCATATTCTCTGTACTTTTCTGCCACGTCAAATAAATAAATGACACAATGGAAAAAACCTAAAACAAGTAGTCCTATTTCAAACCACATTTACTTACTAATAAAATTTCTTTATTGTGACACTTTCTCCAGTTTATAGGACATCTCTCATATTCTATCTTGTCATATATAAACTCATAGTCATGTATGTCCTCTAACCATCTCATAACGGTTTCCAAACCACTTTTATCGGATGTAAAGTAAAAGCATGGATGGTTATGTATAACGTCTAAAGTTTCTAAAGAGTCTCTCAAAGTCCAGTCTACTTGGTATTGAAAATCCCATGTGTTATAGAACGGCGGGTCCACTATAAAGAAAACATTTTCCTTGTCTTTATATTTTTCATACAACTCTGTCCAATGACATCTCACAAACTCTATACCCTCAATATATTTTTCTATGTCCTCTTTGAAAACATTTGTATAGTTAAGATATAAAACTTTTGACATAAGTGTTTCAATGTCATGAACTCTTATAGAACCACTATATAATAGTCTAGCAGATATACTATCCCAGTCTATATATTCTGCTTTTTTCAAAACCTCTCTCACAATATTTTTCTTATCTAATGGTATACGTTCCATCTTACCTATAGGTATCTTTTCTTTTAACTCTTTCAATATATTGTTTGTGTCTGGAATATGTTTGAGACGGTCCATATAGTTGTCGAAGTCATTGCATATAATCTTTGAGTCAGGAAATACGGTATGACATAAATGGGATATATAGAAACTTCCACCGAACAAATCTACAAATGTTAGACCATTCGGTAGTTTCTTAAGTTCTCTCAATATAATATCTTTACATCTACTCTTATTTCCAAAGAACGGTAACGGTGGTTTTGTAAAATTCATTTATATATAATAATAAAAATGTTTTTACCCGAAAAGTGACAGAAAAGTGACAAAACATGAAAACATATATAATTTGTGAAAAGTGACATTTAAAAAAGTGACACCATTAATATGATGTTCGGTCCTCCTCTTGGGTCTTGGGCAAAATTTCTTATGGGCTAGAGGGCGCAACGCGCCTAGAAGCCCCACTACCTTTTTTTGAGTATGATATCTTAACAGTAATTATTCTAGGGTTGTTAAAAATATCAAAAATTAGCGTTTTGAAGACACCATGGTGTCTTATAATTTTCCCTTCCTTATTGGCGTGTAGAAATAAATGCGCCAATAGATTGAAGAAGAAGAATTGTTTTTCTCTTAATGAACTTTAATCCTTTTGATATAAGAATATTAAAAACATTAATATAATTTCGATTTCGGAAATTAAATTTCCAATTTTTTTGTCGATTTCGGAAATAACAGGATCCCGCATCCAACACGCAACAACAAAACACAAAACACACTTTTCGGTTCTTTCATCGTTTTAATCGTAATTTATGTAATACATGATTTGGATAAATTTTACAAAAATAGAACCTATATTATATTCTTTTCAAAGATTCTTGCAAATCATCAAAAATAATTGTATTTTAAAAAACAATCAAATTATCCTTTCATTATTTTAAACTTAAATTAGTTTTTATGATTGACTAAAGCAATCATATTTATTCATCATTAAATAAACAAAAAAATAATATTTGAGAGTTATTTCAAAAAAACACATTGAATTTATTAATTTGTCTCGATTTCAGTATTATAAATTTTTATAATTTCAATATTTTGAAATACACTTTTTAATATTTCAATATTTATGATATTTCAATGTATTAAGTGGTCTCAAATTGAGCTTCTCAAATATAAGTTGGCCTATTCAAATAATAAAATTAAATAATATTTAAAATAATAAATAAAAGTGATTGAGGTCACAGCAAAACGGCTGTTTCAGTCATTAATTCTTAAAAATAAAAAGGGTAAAAACTAAATAAAATGGGTAAAATTCAATAGTGTCTGTGCTATCGTTCAATTTGAAGGTGTCTTTTGAAACCGCAAGACACATTGAATTTTTGAATAGTATATTATGGTTTGACAGACACCAATGAAAAAAATAAAATGATATTTATTTTAAATATATAAGATCCTTATATAAAATATAAATATTTTATCGTTTTATTTTCTTGTTTGAGAAATGTTTTTTATTGAAAAATCAATAAAACTAACTCCAAAATAAAATTTTTGATTTAAAGACACTATGATGACACCAGGCAAATCTTCCAAGACACCTATCGTCGGGAATCTAACAACCCTAAATTATTCAAACAATCATAAAAAAACTACATAATTTTCAAAATGTCAATAGTGAAAACTAAATATGGTGACTTACAAGGCGTAGATCTCGAATCTGGAAACAGAGTTTATCGAGGAATACCATTTGCAAAACCTCCCATTGGTCCATTGAGATTCAAAAGACCAGTTCCACCAGATAATTGGGAAGGAGTTCGAGATGCAACACAATTTGCTAAAATACCATCTCAAAAAGATTTTAAAGGCTTTTATGAAAAGGAATTCTTTCCAAATGGAAAGCCAGAGAATTCAGAAGATTGTCTTTATTTGAATGTCTGGGCACCACCTGTTAATCCAGAAAAAAAATATCCAGTAATGTTTTGGATACACGGTGGCTCTTATGAAGCCGGATTCTCGCACGGAATTGAGTTTGATGGAGATAATATTGCCAAAAAAGAATGCATTTTAGTGACCACCGAATATCGTTTGAATGTTTTTGGCTTCCTAGCACATCCGATTTTAGAAGCAGATGGCCAAAAAAGCGGAAATCAAGCGTTATATGATCTGATTCTTTCATTACAATGGGTTCAAGATAACATAGAAGCATTTGGTGGCGATAAATCGAATGTTACAGTCTTCGGACAGAGCGCAGGTGCGATGCTTACTCAGATTTTGTTAGTTTCTCCAATGGCAGCCAATTTATTCCATAAAGCGATACTACAAAGTGGAGGAGGCTACATGGTAGCTCCTTTCCTCCGCAATACATACAAAGATATCGTTAAAACTTCAGAAAAATTCTTCAAATTAATGAATATCAAAACATACGATGATCTTATGAGCAAAACAAAAGAAGAAATACGAAAGGTATACCAAGATTTCCCATCTCTACGATTAACTCCTTATATTGATGGAGAAATCTTTCCTGCCAAATTAGAAGATTGTTATCAAAGCAAAAACTATAAGAATTGTCCAGTAATTGCAGGATCAAACGAATCTGAGTTCGATTATCTTTCTTATAAATATTTTTACCACTGTAATTTAAACATGGTCAAAAAACAGTCAGAAAATGGTTTCACACCTGTTTACCTTTACTACATGACTTTCCATCCTCCAGGTGATGACAATCCAGGTTGTTTCCACAGTGCAGAGTTGTGGTACGTCTTCTCTACTTTTGATAGATGTTGGAGACCATTCGGAGAGAAAGACAAAAATTTATCAGAAATGATTGTTACATACTGGACAAATTTCTCTAAAACAGGAAATCCAAACTCAGAAGGACTTCCTCAATGGACTCCATACACATTACAGAACAAGAAACACCTTAAAATTGATTTCGAAGGCACTCAAATGGAAGATGCTAAATGGTTTTAAAAATTTAATAAAAAATCTTTCTATCAAAACTATAGTATATTTTCATTATTTCTATGTTAATAGCTGTTCAGTCAAAATTTCTCTTTGATATTTATCATCTATACCGTGATTATAAGAATTTCTTTTGCATTCTATTTGTAAATTATATATGATATTGCATTAAAGAATTATTTTTAATGGTGCACTTACCACTTTCTGACACGCTCTCAAAGCTTTTTTTTGGTTCCTCTTCACACATGTATTCCACTTTTTGAGAGGGTGTCAGAAAGTAGTAAGTGCACCATTAAGAGAGAATCATGAACAGAATCCATTTCAATAAGACGGTCATTATCTGTTATATAAATATAAATACTTTTCTAGTTCTCTGCAATTTTAAATGGCTTAGGAGATAATTCAGATTTGCTTCTGTGGAGAATTTATCATTGGTGATTGATTTTGCCGATATTGTTGATATTTTATTAAAACCTTGTTGTTGAAGATATATATTGCTGTTTGAGATCCCAATCATTTTCTAACCATCGTTGGTGCCAAAAATTTGTGATATTTCTTCAAAAGCAGGGAATGTTCCCAAATCCTGATCTATTATTTGATTCTGTCCTTTTTGTTCTTCAAATGTTCCAAATGAAGCAATCCTCTTTATAAAATTATTATTTTATTTCGAAGGAATTGAAGGTTCTTCAGAAATTAAATTAGAAATAGGAATATTTGGAATGTAAATAGAATCTTTTTGATTTCTAACTTTAATTTTGCATAAGGATGGAGAATATAAATTAGGAAGAATGATTTCTGTCATTGACTTTGAACTCTGATTATTTCCATTCTGTGAAAATGAATTGTCTAGTTCAAAATGGCATTCATTTACAGTAGGTGTTCCTGAATATATATATAAAATAAGTTAGAAGCATTGTTTCCTTTGAAGAAACATTGATTCACTGAAAGTGTCACACGATAATCGACACAGAAAATTCCCTTATTATTTTTTAAAACTTTGTTATCAATAACATTACAAAAAGATAAATTTTGTGTTTTATAGCCATGCCAAAAACAGCATTGTTGATCTGATGAAATATTATCGAAATTACTAAAATTTGTTGTTGAAAGAGAAGATGGTTCATAACTAACAAATGCTGCATTTCGATATAGTTTTGAATCAGAGATATTTATTGATGAAAATAGAAGAGATCCATAACGATGATATAAAACTGATTCAAATCCTGTATTTTGAGTAAATGATGATTCAATAACAAAATTCTTGTAGTTATCATCATTTGTCACAAAAATATATGAATGAGATCCTGATCCAGGATCTTTATTTTGTGTTTTGGATTCATAACTACAGACTCTGTATTGTACAAATGAGCCTGATGAGGAAAGATATATGGATCCTCCATGACTTGAAGAGGAGGATTTAAAAAAGATGAAGATGAAACAAGAACTTTGGTTTCAGATGTTGATGAGATTCGAATAACACCCGACCCATCAAATATTTCAAATAGAACATAATCAACAAAGACGTGTTTGTTTTCTGTAACTTTCCGATTTGTTGTAACAACTGTATCATAATTTGTTTTATCATAGAATCTGTTCCATATGTCATATGAAGGTCCTGACAAATGAAATTCTTGATCTCTTCCCCGATTCCCGAGATTTTCTTTTTCTTCTTCAAACAAATATGATTTTCAATAGTTTACAAAATACTTTTTTATAACAGACATTCATTATGATTTAATTTCATTCAACTATTGTAAGTCAAAAAGTGCGTTTAATTTGTATTTTTGAGTCTATTTAGTTTGTATGAGTTCTTCTCAAACCAAATATAATGGTTTTGCAGAGAAGTTTAGAGAATTCATTTTTCTATTTTCAAATGGTGATTTTTCCATTTTACGATCTAAAGTTAAGTGTAAGTTTTATTAAAAATATTATAAATATAAAAATAGATTATAAAATTTTAATAATTCACAAATGTTTTGCAGTAATTAGAAATAACATTATAAGATTTGGATTCGGTAATATTAACAACATGAGAAACAACAGGAACAGGATCTCGAGGACTGATATTTTCTGGTTTGATCAAAACACCAAATGAACTTGTAACACCGAAAATGTCGGGTGTTGGACAGATCTCTTCTGGGAATGATTCTGTTGGTTCTTCAGATACTTCTTCATCGATATTTGCTGGAATAAATGATTCAAAAATAGTAGAATCAGAAGAAATTGGTTCAACAACTGCTGAATTAGATTTAGATCCAAAATCATGAAAAACAAATGTTTTCTTTTGTTCTTGATTATTATTATTTGTTTCTTGTTTGTTGTCTGATGATGGTGTTCTCAGTGGTGGTTCTTCATCTGTATCAATAAAGTTGTGCTTGTTCTTTTCTTCCGAACTAACATCAGCAAATGGTGAAAATGTGTCAAAAGTCTTTTGTTCATTTGATTTTGGTTCAGTTTCAAATGAAGAGAAGAAACCAGAACTGGATTTAGATCGATGTTCAAGACTTTGTTGATCTTCAAATGTAGCAAATGATGAATTATCGAAATTGTTAATGTTACTTGATTCTTTCTCTTTATCTTTATCTTTGTTTCTATTTTCTTCAATAGAATTAGTGTCAAATGTTGGAAGAGAAGCAGTTGATCTTGGAAGAACTTTGTTTGATTTATTTTCTTCAGAAATTGTTGAAAAGCTTGGTTTGTTTGTTGTTTTGTTTTCTTCTTGTTTTGTTGTTGTTTCGGTTGTGCCAAATCCTCCAAAATCAGTGAAATTGGATTTCGGTTTTTCGTCAACTTTCTTCGGTTGATCGAATGTTCCGAAATTGGAAAATGTTGATTTATCTTCTGTCTTTGTAGTTGATTCAAATGTTCCAAAGCTTCCAAAATCTGCAAATCCGGATTTAGAATTAGATTTGTTTTCTTCATTCTTTGGTTGATCAAATGAACCAAAAACTGAGAAATCTGCTGAAGAATTCTGCTTCTTTTCTGATTTCTCTTCTTCTTGTTTTGGAGCTGATTCAAATGAGCCAAATCCGCCAAAGTCGGCAAATCCTGACTTAGATCCTGATTTGTTTTCTTCATTCTTTGGTTGATCAAATGAACCAAAATCTGCAAATCCTGATTTGGATGTTGATTTTTCTTCTGATTTAGGAGTTGTATCAAATCCTCCGAAATCAGCGAAACCTGACTTTGAAGAAGATTTATTTTCTTCTTGTTTTGGTTGATCAAATGATCCAAATCCGCCAAAATCTGCAAAACCAGATTTGGATGATGATTTTTCTTCTTTCTTTTCTTCTTGCTTTGGTTGATCGAATGAACCAAAGTCAGCAAATCCGGATTTAGATCCAGAGTTATTTGATTCTTCGAATCCTTTGAAATCAGCAAATCCTGATTTAGACGAAGATTTCTCTTCTGTCTTTGGAGTTGAATCAAATGAACCAAAATCTGCAAATCCTGATTTAGATCCTGATTTGTTTTCTTCATTCTTTGGTTGATCAAATGAACCAAAATCTGCAAATCCTGATTTGGATGTTGATTTCTCTTCTGATTTAGGAGTTGTATCAAATCCTCCGAAATAAGCGAAGCCAGACTTTGAAGAAGACTTATTTTCTTCTTGTTTTGGTTGATCAAATGATCCGAAATCAGCAAATCCTGATTTTGATGATGATTTCTGTTCTTTCTTTTCTTCTTGTTTAGGAGTAGCTTCAAATGAACCAAAGTCTGCAAATCCTGATTTAGATCCAGATTTGGTTGATTCTTGTTTTGGTTGATCAAATGATCCAAATCCGCCAAAATCAGCAAAGCCAGATTTGGATGATGATTTTTCTTCTTTCTTCTCTTCTGGTTTTGGTTGATCGAATGAACCAAAGTCAGCAAATCCTGATTTAGATCCAGAGTTATTTGATTCTTCGAATCCTTTGAAATCAGCAAATCCTGATTTAGACGAAGAATTCTCTTCTGTCTTTGGAGTTGAATCAAATGATCCAAAGCCACCAAAGTCAGCAAATCCAGATTTAGATCCTGATTTGTTTTCATCTTGCTTTGGTTGATCAAATGATCCAAAATCAGCAAATCCTGATTTGGAATTAGATTTATTTTCTTCTTGTTTTGGTTGCTCAAATGTTCCAAATCCGCCAAAATCAGCAAATCCTGACTTTGATGATGATTTTTCTTCTTTATTTTCTTTTTGTTTTGGTGTTGAAATTTCTTCTTGTTTAGGTTCTTCTTTATTTTCTTCTGTTGTTGATTCTTGTTTCACTTCATTAAATGAACCAAATAAATCTCTGATATTTGCACTTCCACCAACTGATTTAGGTTTTTCTTTTTCTTGTTGTTGAACACCAAATGAAGGGAATGAATCAAATCCACCAAATGATGGAGATGGTTGTTTCTTTTGTTCTTCAAAAGCAGGGAATGTTCCAAATGAAGCATTATTTGATTCTGTCTTCTTTGGTTCTTCAAATGTTCCAAATGAAGCATTTCCTGAATTAGATGTGTTCTTTTTAGGTTCATCAAAAGCAGGGAATGTTCCAACTGTTTGTTGATCAAATGAAGGAGAAAATGTTGCATTTCCTGTATTTGATGAATTAGATTTCTTTGGTTCATCAAAGGCAGGGAATGTTCCAAATCCTGGTGTATTTGATTTTGGTTGATCAAATCCTCCAAATGATGCATTTCCTGAATTTGATGGATTCTTCTTCGGTTCTTCAAATGAAGGAGTAAATGTTCCAAATCCACCAAAAGAAGTGGAAGAACTTTGTTCTGTCTTCTTTGGTTCATCAAAAGCAGGGAATGTTCCAACACTTTGTGATGAATTCTTTTGTTCATTAAATGCTGGAGTAAATGAAACATTTCCTGAATTAGATGTGTTCTTCTTCGGTTCATCAAAAGCAGGGAATGTTCCAAATGAAGCATTATTTGATTCTGTCTTCTTCGGTTCTTCAAATGTTCCAAATGAAGCATTTCCTGAATTAGAATTGGATTTCTTTGGTTCATCAAAAACAGGGAATGTTCCAACATTTTGTGATGAATTATTTTGTTGACCAAATGAAGGAGAAAATGTTGCATTTCCTGTGTTTGATGAATTGGATTTCTTTGGTTCATCAAATGATCCGAAAGAAGGAGTTACATTTCCTGAATTTGATTTTGGTTGATCAAATGTTCCAAATGTAGAATTATTTTGTTGATCAAATCCAGAAAATGAATTAGTTTCTGTCTTCTTTTGTTCACCAAATGTAGAATTATTTTGTTCATTAAAAGCAGGAAAAGTTCCAATATTTTGTGATGAATTCTTTTGTTCATTAAATGATGCATTTACTTGTGGATTAGAATTATTTTGTTCTTCAGTTGATGTATTGTTTGTTTCTTCTTTTTCTTCTTCTTTCTCTTCCTTTAATGATCCAAAGAAATCGCGTGCTTCTTTCAAATCATGTGATTTTGCTGGTGGAGAGTATGTAACTATTTGTTTTTGTTGAGTTATTTGTTCTGAATTGTTTGGAATTTGTTTTGGTGTTGTAAATGAACTTAAATCTCCAAATCCTTGACTCTGTTTTGGAGTCTGTGTCGAATTAAATGCTCCGAAATCTCCAAACTGTTGTTGATTTTGTTGTTGAGAATTGAAGTTTCCAAAATCTCCAAATTGTGGCTGATTTGGTTGTGATTGAACTGGTTGATTTTGTTGTTGTGTGCTGAATCCTCCAAAGTCACCAAATTGTGGTTGTTGTTGAGATTGAACGGGTTTTGGCTGATTATTGAAATTATTAAAGTTTCCAAATTGTTGCTGATTTTGTTGAACAGGTTGTTGACTTTGTTTTGGCTGTTGGAAATTTCCAAAATCTCCAAATTGTGCCTGATTTTGCTGTGAAGCTGGAGCTTGAACTGGTTGTTGTTGTGTTTGTTGCTTTGGTTGAGCATTGAAATTTCCTAAATCTCCAAATTGTGGTTGTGAAGCTGGTGATTGAACTGGTTGTTGTTGTTGATTTGGTTGATTTGTTTGTTTAGGTTGTTGAGCATTGAAATTTCCAAAATCTCCAAATTGCGGCTGGTTTTGTTGTGAAGCTGGCGCTTGAACAGGTTGTTGATTTTGTTTTGGTTGTTGAGAATTGAAGTTTCCGAAATCTCCAAACTGTGGTTGTTGAATTTGTTGTGTTTGTTGTTGATTTGGTTGTTTTGGTTGTTGAGTACCAAATGATCCGAAATCTCCAAAGTTATTTTGATTTTGAGATGGAATTTGTTGTTGAGGTTTCTGTGGAGAATTAAATGAACCAAAGTCACCAAACTGTGGCTGTGATTGCTGTTGAGTTTGTTGAGGTTTTTGAGGAGATGAAAAAGCATTAAAATCTCCAAAGTTCTGTTGTTGAGGAGATGGTTTTTGTTGGGTATTAAATGTTCCAAAGTCTCCAAATTGTTGTTGTTGTGCTTGTGGTTTTGGAGATGTTGCAGTTTGAGGAATTGCTGGCTTTTTAGGAGTTTCATATCCACCAAATCCTTGGAATTGTGTCTGTTGTTGTTGTTGCATCATTTGTGGCTGATTTTGTGGTGATTGTTGTAATGTTGATGGTTTCTTTGGTTCTTCGTCGTTACTAAAGAAACTTCGAGCATCTTTGTTATCGGCCGATTTGACAACCATGTATTGTGGATGTTGCTGTTGTGGTTGTGGCTGATTTGTTTGAGGTTTTGGTTCTTCGTAGGCATTGAACATCTGGAATGCAGATGCGTTCGTATTTTGCTTCTGCGGTGATGAGAATGCGCCGAAATCACCAAAATTCTGAGGAGAATTTGTCATCGGAGATTGTGTTTGCGGATATTGCTGATATGTATTAAAACCTTGCTGCTGAACTGGTTGTGTACGTTGTGGCGATTGTATATTTCGCTGGTTTTGATTCCTTCCGAAGTTTGTATTAAATTCATTGAAATGCATTTGTTGCTGAGGAACATTTGCGCGTTGGTTGTAATTTCCGAATGTTTGCTGTTGTGCTTGTTGCATTTGCGGAGCTTGACGCTGAGGTTGTTGTAAAGGGTTTTGATTGAAATTTCCAAATTGAGGATTTTGCTGTTGCATTTGAGCAGGCTGCCCATAATAATTCATACCACTATACATAATTTGTTGCTGTTTGGGTTGATTGTATGAGCCCATTTGATATGCTGCTTGTTGTTGATTTCTGAAGCCGGAATTAGACCAACCAGCACCTTGCTGACCAAACTGCTGCTGTTGCTGCTGTGGGTACTGTTGATTATTATTGTAAAAATTGTTGTTTCGCATTGACATATGTCACTTTTTGGAGCAAAAACCTGAAAGTTCTGACACTTTTTAAGAAGTATTTTTGGGGGAGAAAAAAATTAATTTTTTTTTCTCATGGGTGATTTTGTCAAGCAGCTTTCTCAGTTATCACAGAATGTTGCTACATGTGTAACAATAGACAATCCCCCATTCATCCATTGTTCTAAAATAAATGCTTTTATCCAATTAATGCGTAAGTTAGCACCTCTCTTAGGAACTACAACGAAGAAATTGAATTGGGGACTTAGTTCTTCAATGAAATCCGTAAACGACGTCTTACAAGAGTTTAAACAGCTGCATGCGCAGTGTTTATACGAAAATTGTATTCATTATATTTTAATAACGCCTATAAAGACAGCTTATAATCAATTTACGGAAATGCTTAAAGAGCTACGGAAAGATTTCGATCAATTAGGTGTCGCGTCTGCTCTTCCACTCATAGATCAAGCATTAACGGATTTGGAACCTCAGGAAACTGTAGATTTAAAGAGAATCGGCGAAATATTTGTTCAAATACACAAGAAAAATAACAAAAGTTCACGAAAAGACGTCCAAAAACAACTTTTAGAAAGAACGACATCTCTTGAGAATCTTGGCATACAATTCAACTACCAACCAGTGGATATTGTCGTCATCCCTGAATTACCTAATTCATTAAATTTAGTGCTACAACATGAAGATTTGGAGTTTGGAAAACAAATTGGAGAAGGAATCAGCGGCAGAGTTGTTAAAGGAAAAATAAAAAGTACAGGAATGGTCGTAGCTATTAAAATTCTACATTTAAGGCAGCTATCTGGTGCAGATATGGAAAGATTTAGAAATGAAATTTTCGCAATGAGTACTTTGACACATCCGTCGCTTCTTCCGTTTTGTGGATATACACAGGAAGCTCCATACTGTTTGGCAACGAAGTTTATGGAGAACGGATCTTTATTCAACATTCTTTCAACAAATCCTTCGTTTTTATCCCCTACTGATCGAACATTAATTGCTTACGACGTCGCTTGCGGCATGGAATTCTTACATTCTCGTGGAGTTATCCACAGAGATTTGAAATCTTTAAATATTTTGATCGATGAGAACAAAAGAGGCAAAATTAGCGACTTCGGTTTTGTCAGAATGAAAAGTAGTGTGCCAATGACAGGGTTAGTTGGCACTTCCCATTGGATGGCCCCTGAAATTTTACTAAGTTCTCCAAATTACGACGAAAAGATCGATATTTATAGCTACGGTATCGTACTTTGGGAGCTCCTTACATCAGAAAAGCCATATGCTAACGAAAATCCCGCAACTTTGCCTCTAAAAGTTATTGAACACAATTTGAGGCCAACTATACCAGAAGGGACCCCAATTAAAATGAAGACATTGATTGAAAGATGCTGGTCTTTATCTCCTGAGCAGCGTCCTTCATTCCACGACATAATTAATTATTTTACAGACCCAGAATATCATTTTCCAGGCAGTGAACGCTTTGTTCTTCTTAGAGAAACAGGTGCTGTTGTATCTCACGCAAGGAATAGCAGCGAAAATGAGTTTTTGAAACGACCAATTCCATTAATTCGTCGAAACATGAACATGAAGAGCGTTTGTGTCTCGAAATCGAAAATAGGAACAACTCTCGTTAAAAGGATCGAAGATGCAATGAATCAAGGCCATATTGAAGCATTTCGTAATTCCATTGCAACGTTTAGGTCTATGCTTGATACAAATAACATATCATGGCCAGGTATATCTAACCAATTTGTTGGCTTGATCCAGCATGCTCCACATAACTTTAAGACGCAATTAGTTCAATTATTCTTTGAAATATTATCCAATCAATGCCAAACGACAACATCATCACCAAATTTATCATCAAAGCCTCCTGAACCAGATAATATGGCTAGTTTTGTCGTAATTCAGTTGTTAAATGATCCTGATCCGAATATCATTGAAATGTCCCTTACAATTCTCTCTTTAACAGCTGCAACATGTTTAAATACAGATGATGTCATTAATACCCTTCTTGGTTTCGTTAAATCTGGTGATCAAAAACTTCGCATTAAAGCTTTACATGCATTACTCGTAGGATGCTCCACAGAGGCTCTGAAAAATCATTTGAATAATCTCCTCATGTTTGGAATGCGAAAATTGCCGTTGTTAAGATTAAGGACATTATTAACGCGCTCGTTGGATATTATTAATTCTATGGAAGCTAAAGAACTAGATCCAAAGGTTCTTATTAAATTACAGGCCATCCAACAAAATGCACCACCAGAATTGAAAAATTTAACAAACGAATGCATTAATACATTTAATGCAAAGGCTAATAACAACAAACAGAGTAGTAAGTAATATATTTATATTTTTATTTTGTATTTTTGTTTATTTTATTTTTAATAATTGAATCCAAAGAAATTTGTTTGATTTAGGATTCGATTTTTGATGACTAAAATATTTTGTTTATTGAAAGCTATAATATAGTTATGAATCCTTATTCCCAACATTTAGAATAAGGTTATTGCCCTAAAATTCAGTTATAGACACTTAGGAGAGCATTTAAACTGCAAGGATCTCCGATTCTCGATATGATAATTTATTTGATTCCGGGGGACACCCCGGTTATCAAATAAATTAGCATTATTAACATTCCTTTTTTATTTAAAATTTTCAATTCTTAAAACAAAGTTTTACTTCTATTTAATTATTTGCCATGAAATTATAGAACATTAAAAATTCATCCTACTACCTCCACCCTTATAATACCTTCAAAAAATTATATCTCGATTTATTTTCTATCTTTATATTGATGTGCTTATTCAAAAACACTAAATCATAAGTCTTCAGTTCTCATAAATAGACAATTTATGAAGTAACAAAGCACATAGTATTATAAAAAAGAAAAACATTTTTCTCATATGAAAGAAAATATAACGTATTTTTTACAGAGCGTAGGTATATATCGAGTCAATTCACACCATAAATTCTTTTCTCGTTCTCGGGCCTATAAACAACCTGAGGTGCATAACAATATTAACTTATACTGCTGTTATCTGGATTTGAATCCTCAATTGAGAGAATTCCAGATAACTTCAGTATAAACAAACCATATACATGTTTCCTCCTTGCTTCTAGGCCAAGCATAACAAGTACATTACCTTAGAGCAAATCTCATTCGGAGTTTCTCATTTAATGAGAGACTCCGAATGAAATTTGCCTATTTGATTAATATCGTGCTTTATGAGATGCAAATTCTGATGATAAATATTGATCTAGAGCTTATATAAGATGCGAAGAAACTTCAAAAAAAGCTAACCGGTAAAGACAGCAACTTGCAACACCAAGTTGCTCACGTAGTGATTACAAGCATATCTGCAAGGCAAAGTCCTCAGGATGCAGAACTTTGCCTGCAATCAGAAAAGAGATTGCAGCAGAGTAACCGGTAAAGACAGCAACTTGCAACACCAAGTTGCTCACGTAGTGATTACAAGCATATCTGCAAGGCAAAGTCCTCAGGATGCAGAACTTTGCCTGCAATCAGAAAAGAGATTGCAGCAGAGTAACCGGTAAAGACAGCAACTTGCAACACCAAGTTGCTCACGTAGTGATTACAAGCATATCTGCAAGGCAAAGTCCTCAGGATGCAGAACTTTGCCTGCAATCAGAAAAGAGATTGCAGCAGAGTAACCGGTAAAGACAGCAACTTGCAACACCAAGTTGCTCACGTAGTGATTACAAGCATATCTGCAAGGCAAAGTCCTCAGGATGCAGAACTTTGCCTGCAATCAGAAAAGAGATTGCAGCAGAGTAACCGGTAAAGACAGCAACTTGCAACACCAAGTTGCTCACGTAGTGATTACAAGCATATCTGCAAGGCAAAGTCCTCAGGATGCAGAACTTTGCCTGCAATCAGAAAAGAGATTGCAGCAGAGTAACCGGTAAAGACAGCAACTTGCAACACCAAGTTGCTCACGTAGTGATTACAAGCATATCTGCAAGGCAAAGTCCTCAGGATGCAGAACTCTGCCTGCAATCAGAAAAGAGATTGCTCCAAGATTAACTATAGTTTGATATCGTAAAATTCACTTCAAAATGACGTTAACACATTTAAATTTATACGTTTAAATTCTATAGTTTATTTATAACTTCATTTTTCTTTATTGCTCTACGAGCTATTCTCATTGCATGATGTGTTAGTGTGCCGGCCCTAACATGGAAGCTGTGAGATATTGTGCTCAGAGAATGGAAGCAAATAATGTATTTAGAAGATGAAATAACAACAATGATATGAGTGAAAATGAAATTATTAATGTCGATTGCATCATCCTTAGATTGATAACAATACAAACTGCTGCATTTCTCCAGATTCCACGCATTGTCAGATTTTCAAGAGATTCTTTAGTCAAATCATAAGCCAGTCATACAAAACCTAGAAGTTAGCATCATCCTTAGATTGATAACAATACAAACTGCTGCATTTCTCCAGATTCCACGCATTGTCAGATTTTCAAGAGATTCTTTAGTCAAATCATAAGCCAGTCATACAAAACCTAGAAGTTAGCATCATCCTTAGATTGATAACAATACAAACCCCTTTACTTATATTTTAAAAAAAATAAAAACGATATATTCCTCTCGTATCGTTTTTGAAAATTGGTACCTAACAAACCTCGAACTCATGGCCCAACAAAAAAAAAATGGATGAAGAACCAGATATACCCAATCTGGAATCCATTCCGCAACACATTGCAGAGAAACTCCTGCAACTAGGCAAACTTGTTCCAAGGCAAAAGTTAAATGCAGCAAATTTGTCAGACACTCAAGTATCTCTCCTAATGAGCCTCATTGAAGACAGCTTTGATCCAGCTAACAAAGGTCTCATAGAAATTCTCGCCAAGAGTACAAACGTTTGTCCTGCCACCTTATATAATTACCGTAAAAAATACGAACTTGACCCAGAATTTAACCCAAAGACGGCTGCATCTTTGATCAATCGTGCTATCAGTGATCACGGTGAAGAATTGTTAGCCAATTACATCATCAAAGAATTCATCGAAAAAAATTCTTCTTTAACACCCAAATGTGCAGAGTGCTTGTCAAGATGTTCATAAAGGCTTACCCTAACGAGATTCTCAGAAACGATTTTGTTGTTTCTGATCATTACCTTTCGAATTTCCGAGAGAGATGCGACCTGACCACTCGTGAAGCACATTGGCATCGTCGGCCAAAAGACATCGAAGAGATGAAGACTCGTATCGAAAGCTTTAAACAGACCAAAGCTCAACTTATGGAACTCTTCAAGGATGAATTGTGGAGAATCTGCAACGCAGATGAATCCTTTTACGGATGTGGAATCGCTCATGGACTGACATATGCAATAAAAGGCTCGGAAGGTGTTGACGTCCACATGAATCATAACGAGAAGAAAGGAATCACTATTATTGCCACAATCCAGGCAGACGGCAGTAAACTTCCACTCACATTTGTCTGCAAGGGTCTCACAGATGCATGCCATAAGCAGATTTACGACAACAGAGTCTTTTCCAATGAGTTGATTTTGCATTCCGAAACAGGTTGGGCCACAAAGGAGGTATTTCAAGAATATCTCAGATGGCTTAGAAAGTATTACAACGATCGTTATCGCGAGAATCCAAGTTACATTCAAAATGATAGAATCTACTTGTTTCTTGATACATATTCTAGCCACAGAAATGCAGAAACAAAGAAGCTTGCTAAAGACTTGAACATCACACTCGTCTTCATTCCAGTTGGATGCACCGATCTGTGCCAACCTCTTGACATGCATGTCTTTGGCGCCTTAAAGAATATGGCAACGAGAACATGGTGGACTTACTATTCTATCGACACTTCCCTCGAGTGCACGCTGAAGTTGGCAGTGTATATTTTAATACGTTGCTGGAATGCGCTGACTCCTGAGCTCATTGAGACTGCATTCAGTATGCACATCAAAGATCTTGAAGAAAATGAAAGCATCCAACCACGTATCTCTGACGAAGAGGCCTCAGACTTCATTGAACGGATTGACGAAGTGAAGGCTCAATTCACAGTAGGCGAGCTTCTTGGCCAAAACGCAGAAGAGGAAGACGCCCCTGATTTTGACCTCCTTCAAGAGTTCAGTGAGATCAATGAACGACGCCATAGGAGACAGGAAAATACCCAGATTGAAGAAATAGTTTCAGATGATGAAGACTGGGATGGAAGTGATGATGAAGAAGATCTTGAAGGATTCACTCCAGAAGAAGAAAGAGAAATCCTTGAATATGATCTAGATCCATCAGAAATTGAAAGCGCAGTAGAACCTGAACCAAATTATAATCCTCCTTCTCCAGCTCAGCCAGACCAAATTGAACTGCTTCATGAACATTCACATATCATATTTATCAGATTTGCCATTGTTTCACTTACACTCGGAAGAGATGGTCATGCCTCTTTTAAATTTTATAAGAGACTTGATTTACAAGGCGAATATGTTGTGATCGATGAAAATTGGTGTTATGTGATCCCAAGAGGAGGAGCAATCGGATATCAATTTTTATCATTGTATGTCAGAGGTAAGGATGTTGAAATTGAAAATTAATTCATAATTTCTATTTATTTATATATTTTGTTTTTTATTTGTAAGCTGTAAATAATGATTTGTTATAAGAAGATGGTCTTTTTCACCAAGAAAAATTTTGTGTGTAAAAAATTTTTATCGTCTGACAAGTTTCTCTGTGAAATATGAAAATTTAATGTGTGATTACATTAGGAAAATATTTATAGAAATAAATATAAGAAATTAGAGAAAAAAAATTTAAAAAGTAAAAAAATGAAGAAAATAACTGGAATACGAAGAATTTAGGGAGGATAGAGTGCATTATTGTTCTAAGCATGTCATTCCGGGAGACATTGCCTGTGCATGTCTCCCAGAATGGCATACTGTTCCGCATTCATAACTTGAATGCGGGACTTTGACCGACAAGAGTGCATTGTGCACTCTTGTTGGTCTGCATGTGTCATTCCGGGAGACATTGCCTGTGCATGTCTCCCAGAATGGCATACTGTTCCGCATTCATAACTTGAATGCGGAACTTTGACCGACAAGAGTGCATTGTGCACTCTTGTTGGTCTGCATGTGTCATTCCGGGAGACATTGCCTGTGCATGTCTCCCAGAATGGCATACTGTTCCGCATTCATAACTTGAATGCGGAACTTTGACCGACAAGAGTGCATTGTGCACTCTTGTTGGTCTGCATGTGTCATTCCGGGAGACATTGCCTGTGCATGTCTCCCAGAATGGCATACTGTTCCGCATTCATAACTTGAATGCGGAACTTTGACCGACAAGAGTGCATTGTGCACTCTTGTTGGTCTGCATGTGTCATTCCGGGAGACATTGCCTGTGCATGTCTCCCAGAATGGCATACTGTTCCGCATTCATAACTTGAATGCGGGACTTTGACCGACAAGAGTGCATTGTGCACTCTTGTTGGTCTGCATGTGTCATTCCGGGAGACATTGCCTGTGCATGTCTCCCAGAATGAAACGATTTATTGCAATCAGAATACGATTGCAAAACTTTGACTGACAAGAGTGCATTGTGCACTCTTGTTTGTCATCCACTATGATATTTAGAGAAAATACTTTACTTACATTATTTAAAATATTAATTTCCCTATTTAATATTTATTTATTATTTTTGTGCTTTATATTCCCTATGGCATGTACTGAACTATTTTATAGACTCTACCGAGCTATCTCCACATATAAACATTTGACAATAACACATATATACTCTCGTCATATTCTAGTCTCATGACATATTATTGCAAAAGCTATATTTATACAGCATACCTCATAAAGTCTCATTATATCCCTATCTAAGCGTTCAAAACCTATTTTTCCCACGTAATCTGATTCTTCAGGCTCCGCTGATTCGATTTCTGCTGTCAGATCGTGAAAATATGAATCACATAACAAGATAAACACAAGTTACCCAACTTGATATTTTCCGTAAAAAAACTCTTTAAGTTCATGTTCAAACAACATCATTTTAGAAAAATTCAATTTTTTCCAAAAGTGTGTGAATTCAAAAAGTCACAATATATCTAGTTATTACCCAGTATTAATTTTTTAATTTAGTTTTTGAGATATTCATTTTATAATACGTATTATTCAGAAAATTAAATACATTTGTAAGGGAAAACGGAATTAATAACAAATATATGAATATCGTGGAAGAGTCAATTTGAAGAAAACATTATTATTTTGGATTTGTGTTTATCTTGTTATGTGATTCATATTTTCACGATCTGACAGCAGAAATCGAATCAGCGGAGCCTGAAGAATCAGATTACGTGGGGAAAATAGGTTTTGAACGCTTAGATAGGGATATAATGAGACTTTATGAGGTATGCTGTATAAATATAGCTTTTGCAATAATATGTCATGAGACTAGAATATGAAGAGAGTATATATGTGTTATTGTCAAATGTTTATATGTGGAGATAGCTCGGTAGAGTCTATAAAATAGTTCAGTACATGCCATAGGGAATATAAAGCACAAAAAATAATAAATAAATATTAAATAGGGAAATTAATATTTTAAATAATGTAAGTAAAGTATTTTCTCTAAGTATCATAGTGGATGACAACAAGAGTGCACAATGCACTCTTGTCGGTCAAAGTTTTGCAATCGTATTCTGATTGCAATAAATTGTTCATTCTGGGAGACATGCACAGGCAATGTCTCCCGGAATGACACATGCAGACCAACAAGAGTGCACAATGCACTCTTGTCGGTCAAAGTTCCGCATTCAAGTTATGAATGCGGAACAGTATGCCATTCTGGGAGACATGCACAGGCAATGTCTCCCGGAATGACACATGCAGACCAACAAGAGTGCACAATGCACTCTTGTCGGTCAAAGTTCCGCATTCAAGTTATGAATGCGGAACAGTATGCCATTCTGGGAGACATGCACAGGCAATGTCTCCCGGAATGACACATGCAGACCAACAAGAGTGAACAATCCGCTTTCTCCTTTGAAATCCAACATTCTAATCACATCTACATTAATAAATTGTTATAAAATACTAATCAAAGATCCAATACAATTCTACTATCTTATTCACACATTACCAATGTTAATACCTCTTATAACTTAAATTATTTCATAAAATTTGTTTTTATATCTTATTATTTCTCATAATGCTTCTAATACATCTCTAATTTCTTACATTCAAACACCAATATCGTCATACTATCATAAGCACTTAATTTTTTCAAATTTTAGACTTAAATTTGAGCTACATTTTCATCATCATTTTTAGCCTTAAGCTTCTATAAGGTTATAATACATTATCGTAATATTCTAATATTTATGATTCTTACTACTCAATTCAATATAATCATATAAGTCACTCATAATCAGGAGCATAATTTAAAAATCTATAGCTCATATTTTGACAATTATATATATAGATGATGCATATTGCAATTCCGGTTTCAACACGATCAAATGTCAAACCATGATAAAATATATATCAATTTACAAAATATCGATTAACATTAGAATCCATATCTAATTCCATCAATGCACAAGTTGTAAATGCTTAATTCATCTTTGAGAAACGTGAATAGCACAATTTTATAAGATTATTTGTTGAATATTTAAAATATAAGCCAAATCGAATCTGCTGTATATTACTTTAGTTTATAATTGAATGTTAAATGTGCTCAGATAAATATTTGAGTCAGATATCGCATTTTCTAATTTCAAAATTTATCTCATGAAGTTAGAATTTATTTGATCATACAACATCATATTAGTCAAACTAGAGTTCAATCGCGATTCCAAAATGGAACAATTGCTTGTTTTATCAAAATGTTAAAATATTAATCTAAAAAACTTAATATCTAACCAAAACATTCTAGAAATATCATATACAGGTATATGCAATCTAAATGCACACGAAATACTGAAAATTAAAAAGAATATTTATGAGATTATTAAATCTTATGCATTTCAATGAAGAGTCGATAATTATCATTTCTATAGGTTATATATCAACATATGAGTTTTTGGATTGACCACTACTATACTAATGTGATCAAATTAATCTGATTTCTTGAATTTTCATTTGAAGCATTCGCAGTAGTAGGAGTACCTTCATATATTAACATATTAAAAAATTGCGCCCAGATTCGCAGTTTAATCATGATTTTAAGATTGCATTAGATTTCGAAATGCAGAAAAAAATCACTTTAGATTCCCTTCAAACTCTAAGCATAAGCATGTCTCTATATGAGGAAACTATTTGAGCTATTCATTTGGCGGCCCAAAAACTCATGTTGCCTGAGCGCAGAAAATACCAATTTTTGGACCCTGGGTAGGTCATGCATGTTTTCTAAATGTTGGAAAAGTAGGGTAAATTTATTAAATTTTTCAAAATTTTTTATGGCAAAGATTTGACCTATATCAAAAAAGACTAAAATTTGTGTAACATCAAAATTTCAGATCATATTAAAGATCACTTCAAATTTCGTATGCTTTTAATATATTTCATCATCGTTGAAATGGAATATAAACAAATATACTACTTATCAAGGCAGAAACGAAGTTTTATGGTTTTTAGGCCTGTTCATAAATCAAGACAACCCAAAATTAGCATCGATGGAGTAAATATTTAAAAATTGTATTCAGATATTGTTGCTAATTTAATAATTGCAAGCGTTGAGATGTGAATCATGATGAAATTTTAAATCAATTAAAATCGAACCCATGAAATAGATATCAAGAAACATTATGATATTACAGTGCATAGTGAATATTAATATATTATCTAATTGGAAAAAATGCGAATGATTGTTGATTGTCTAAATTTTTGGTATGATTGGACACAAAGCGTATATTCAATCGTAGCATATTATTTAATATACGAATTTGTAACAAAAAGGTGAATTAATTTATTGTGTATTATAGAGATTTTAAGAAAGGACATATGTAACTTGTAAAAATAATATAAATACATCATACACTTTTTGGTCATAGGAATAAAAGATAATACGAAGTAAATGAGGAGTTGAAAAAGATAATCTTTGCTTTGAATTAATTTAAATAAGATAATACAAATATCAGAGGAATAGAGAATAGGCAAACAAAGGAATGGGGTAAAAATACAAAAATTAACAATCGTCTTTTTGAAAATGAGTATTTTATATTCAATGGCTAGAAGAGAACAAGAAAAATTGAGAAAATAGTATACAAGTACGTTGTAAATTAACCTTCATTATCAAAATTTTTATCAATTTTTGAATGTAAAAAATTAGTGGTATAAAACATTATAAAAATATGAGAATAAGCCTGTTTATTTTTTATAAATTAAACTTGAATGCACAAACTTTTATTGTAAATATTCCAAAAATTTAATATTTATTGGTTGCAGGCGTATCTCCTTCTAATAATGACAAATTTGAAAAAAGTTCGTTAATAAATGATTTATTGAAAAATTTTCAATTGATTCAAAAAATTGAGAGAACAAAATCATCATTGAAATCAAATAAAATATCGATTAACAATCAATACTAACGCAATATTAAATAACAATTATTTAACTTGTCAATCAAACATTTCAAATTGATTTTCAATAGGCCTATGAATCTTTTTTTACATTTTATAAATTAGAATATAACGAATTTAGACAAGGAAGCAATTAACGAGAAAAATAACACTTAATAAATTGATAGATGAAAAATTCTTGGTTATTTTTGAATGACATTTGAATAAATTGAGAGACCCTATATAGGATCATTCAAAATGATAAATTGAATTAATTAAAGCGGATGAATACTATTAATTAGTATTCGCTTGATATGGTAAAATTCAACAAAGAGCAATTCAAGTTTGAGGCCAAAATTAGAAAAACTGAAGAAAAATAAGTAACATTTAATTAAAATTAAACAATACCCTCAATTTTTGACTTTTGCAACTTTTTCATGACACCCTACCCAGGTATCTAAAATACCATTTATCGCCTGAAAAGCACCCTTAATTTATGCCAATTGACAAAATAAAGATATGTTTAGAATGCTGATATGATGGAGAATCATGCTGCATCATTATTGGCCAGCAATATATAATATTTAATAAATCTACGAGATTATCTGATTTCATGAAACTCAATGTATACTAAGTTTCAGACTTTGAAATTTTAACATGTTGATATGGGTACATAGGGTTTATGATTCCAGTCATTTATTTAAAAAATTACAAAAATGAATTAATATGATGTGAGTAACAATGGTAATAAACGCTTAATTACTAATATATTATTTCTTGGTAGGAATGAAATGTTTTGGTGACATTTATAGAAGTTAAGCTGAGAATCAAAAATGCAAAAATTATTTTAAATATTACAAGCATTATTTGATGTCATTGAGTTTAGAGTCGTGTAGATATATGAGTACAATATGTTATTGATGTATATATGCAATAATTGTGAAAATGAAATGTGAATCTTAAGATGAGTTGCATGTTACTGCGCTATAATTTGAATTCAATACGTACATAACATTACTAAATGTATTTTAAGATAATACAAAAAATTAAGCTTGCAAAAAGATATCGAAATGTAATTTTCATTAGATTCAAAGTTCTGAATAGATTTTGATTTTAACTATTGATGAGTTTGTCAAACCTCTATAATAATAGAATGTAGAACTAATTAAATATAATTAATAAAAAAATACAAATTTAAGTGATATTATAAGAGATATATGTGATGTTACCAATATGATATGATATTGGAGAACTGATAGAATTGTGATGTGAGACTAAATATGATTTTATTATGAATAGGAGAATAATATTAGAAGAATTTCTTGAATTTAATGTATCTGAATATGTAATTGGGCATATATTCTATATATATATATTGGTAGGTTAACTAGAAATAAGAAGATGAAAGATTGTTAATGAATAATATGAGATTAAGCGAAAATATATTGTTCTAATAGATGAGTGTTGAGATCCAATATATATGAAGAGGGATATGTGAGAGGAAATATGTATATTTAATAAAATAAGCGATGAGAGAAAAAATAACAAAGATTTATATGAAATTTTGAGTATTGAAAAAGCTCGATTAGTGATTTTATGTCTGTTAAAGGAATAGATATTCTAGGAGAAAGATAAATTGAATTAAAGAAGAATAAAAAAAGTTGATTAAGATTGATAAAAATATTGAATTGTATGACAATGGAAAGAAGGAATAAATTGGTGTTGGTATGACGGTATCATTTCGGGAGACACTGCCTCTGCATGTCTCCCAGAATGAGACAATCTTCTGCAATCAGAATGTGATTGCAAAACTTTGACCGACAAGAGTGTATTATGCACTCCTGTCGGTCGCAATGTCTCATTCTGGGAGACATTGCCTCTGCATGTCTCCCAGAATGGAACAATGTTCCGCATTCATAACTTGAACGCGGAAGTTTGACCGACAAGAGTGTATTGTGCACTCCTGTCGGTCGCAGTGTCTCATTCTGGGAGACATTGCCTCTGCATGTCTCCCAGAATGGAACAATGTTCCGCATTCATAACTTGAACGCGGAAGTTTGACCGACAAGAGTGCATTATCCAATCTTTTTTGTCATATACCTCAACCCACAAAGACAAAACCTTACATAAAATAGGTAAACTTTGTTTTTCACTTAATAATGTTTATTTTTAATTTTTTGTTCTTTATATAACTTTTTCTTCTACTAAACTATTTTACAGACTCTACTGAGCTATCCTCACATATATACCTGTGACAATAACACATATATACTCCCTTCATATTCTGATCTCATGACATATTACAGCACAAACTATAATTATACAACATACCTCATAAAGTCTGATTTTACCCCTATCTAAGCGTTCAAAACCTATTTTCCCGCGTAATCTGATTCTTCTGGCTCTGCTGATTCGATTTCTGCTGTCAGATCGTGAAAATATGCATCACACAATGAGATAAACACAAAATACACAACTTAATATTTTCCTTAAAATTTCTCTTCAAGTTCATACTGAAACAACATCTTTTTTTGAAAATACAATTTTTTCAAAAAATGTATGAATTCAAAAGTGCATACTATATCTAGTCATTACCCAACATTAATTTTGTATTTTAGTTTTTAAGATATTCATTTTATTATACGTCTTATTCAGAAAATTAAATATATTTGTGAGGGAAAACGGAGGAAATAATAAATATGTCAAGATCGAGGAATTGACAATTTTAAGGAAAATATTAAGTTGTGTATTTTGTGTTTATCATTGTGTGATGCATATTTTCACGATCTGACAGCAGAAATCGAATCAGCAGAGCCAGAAGAATCAGATTACGCGGGAAAAATAGGTTTTGAACGCTTAGATAGGGGTAAAATCAGACTTTATGAGGTATGTTGTATAATTATAGTTTGTGCTGTAATATGTCATGAGATCAGAATATGAAGGGAGTATATATGTGTTATTGTCACAGGTATATATGTGAGGATAGCTCAGTAGAGTCTGTAAAATAGTTTAGTAGAAGAAAAAGTTATATAAAGAACAAAAAATTAAAAATAAACATTATTAAGTGAAAAACAAAGTTTACCTATTTTATGTAAGGTTTTGTCTTTGTGGGTTGAGGTATATGACAAAAAAGATTGGATAATGCACTCTTGTCGGTCAAACTTCCGCGTTCAAGTTATCAATGCGGAACATTGTTCCATTCTGGGAGACATGCAGAGGCAATGTCTCCCAGAATGAGACACTGCGACCGACAGGAGTGCACAATACACTCTTGTCGGTCAAACTTCCGCGTTCAAGTTATGAATGCGGAACATTGTTCCATTCGAGGAGCCCTCGAAAAGAACCTCACATCGACTCTCTCTTTCCGGCATCTTTACCGCATAGAAAACTGCTCGTTCGCAACTTTGTGTGCAATCTAAGAGATGATTGCGGTAAAGATGCCGGGAAGATTGACGCTGCAGCAGAGAATCACTACGGCTCTCTCTTTCCGGCATCTTTACCGCATAGAAAACTGCTCGTTCGCAACTTTGTGTGCAATCTAAGAGATGATTGCGGTAAAGATGCCGGGAAGATTGATGCTGCAGCCCCAGGCCGCACTCAGATTTCATCCCGCTACACAATTGTTCATCCAACAACTGTCATAGAGGTGAAACATATCATTTTTAAGACTGCGGCGCGCAAGCAAGTTTGAACCTTTCAAGGGTGATCAGTCCTTTACTCATTTCAAGACCTCTTGTTGCCTGATAAAACGATACTTCCTTCCTTCTGGGCCATTGAAAACCCCCAAACCGTCACAACTTGCTTCCTAAATTTTATTTGCGGAGTAATTATCATGCATATTTTATCGGATAATAATATCAAAGCTAAATTTCATATTATTTTTTCAAGATATGCATTTTCTGTCTAAATTTATTTTTTCTGTTTCCAATTCACGGGATAATATTCTTACAAGCATAGATATAGCTAATATATATCATTTTAATAATAATAAAACCAAAATGATGTATTCTTCATATAGTTATTTAAAATTCGTTAACTAGAATTGTATTCAGAACGAGGCAAAGTTAGGAGATACATAAAAACCAATAACTTGATAAGTGATACCTTTTTTCCTGATATATCTATATGTGTTAATGTCAAACACGATTTGGAAAAATTAATTCTTTAAATCGGCTTATGAGTAAGACCAACATCAAAGACATGGCTAATAAATTAATAAATCAATGTTTAATTACCGATTCATGCATTTTTTTCAAAATTTCAAATTTCAAATTTTTGTTTCTCCAAAATATTACTTGTTTCCACTAGATTAACAAATAAACAATAAATTGGAATAATGTAATGCCCAATCATTCATTTTAAATTTTAGATTTAAAACAATATTTTTCTCCATATTATTATAACATGAATCACTATGATATAAGAAATATATTTTCAATATTGAAATTGAAAAATTCTAAAATTTTTGAAATTCAATTTGAGTGTGATGATCGATAACATATATTTTTTAATTAAAATCTTGTGTCGCTATCATATAAATATACTATTTCTAAATTAAAAATAGAAAAAAAGTACTATTTAATGATGAAATTGCAAATAATATCAATATATATATATTCATGCTGATATATTTTGGGAACAGATCGGCAATCACATAAATAGGATTGTGTTAGTTTGTCATGGATATAAAACAAATTTTCGAGCTAATTGAGCGAATTTAAATCACAAACCCTTATATTTTCTATTACAAGGTATATTTGTAATATACAACCAGTAAATAGCTTTCTCTAACTTTTACCAGCTTAGATGATAGCAAATTAGATACGAATTTCATGACCCCTCACCAAATTCCACTAAAACATATACAAATAAAAGTACTAAGTGGGTATCATCTAACCCTAGAATTATAGCTCCTAGGACTCATCCTAGATGGTAGTTCTGGAAAAACACCTGGTTTTTGGAGTTGCAAAAGTTAAAAATTGAGGGTAATTAATATTAATCGTAAAGAAATGACAATTGATTCTAATTGATCAATAAGAAAAGTAAATTAATAAAATTTCGTTATCAAAGCCATTCATTAATCGAAAAAAAAATAATTTTCTAAAGCATGGATGGACATTTGAAGACAATATTCGAAAAAATCGCAATACAAAAGATGATTATTTTACATAATTAAAGAAGAAAAATAATATTAATTATAGATGAAAGTGAACAAAATCAAAGCAATTAGAACAAAGATTATAATTAGGAATTTAACAACTAAAATTAAAAGATCAAAATTCAAAAAGTTAAAAAAAAATCAAATTATGATATTTTTAAATTTGAAATATAATTGAATTAAATCAGATTAACCATTGATAACAAGAATAAAATTGAATGATTCCCAAAATTTCTATATTAATTTGTAAAAAAAATTCAAAGAAAATTCAATTGTATTCAGTATTAATGATATATTTGTTTTTCATTTTGGAAAATGATCAATCATTCTGATTAGTTTACTTTTACATGAATTTCAAAAAATTGAATTTTGAATTGAATTTTAAGTAAATATAATTAGAATTAATAAGTTGAATTGTGTTAAAAATTATTTACGATATATATTTTGAATTTGCCAACAAAATAGGGTTTATTTTTGAGAAGTTATTTTTTGAAAAGAGTCTTTTCAATTTTGGGAACGTCTTCTGAAATTTTCAACGTAGTTCATTTACATCTAAATGTGGAATTTACCCTATATTAAATTTACCTCGAATTAGCATTCAATTTATGAAATACTTACATTTATCCTATAATATATATTAAACAATTGTTATAAATAAAATTTATTTTATATCTAATTTCAATGCAAATTCCCCTTTTTTGTAAATATACTTGTTATTTTTCTTATCTTTTATCAACAAATAAATAACATAATTATTTTAGTATAATCTGCCACTTTCAAATTCTTTACTTCTCAAAACTTAGCATTTCTTAAATGTGTTACAAGAACCTATTTCCTACTTGGAAAAACATAAATTATTTTTCTATTACTTCTACATTTTAAATTTCAATACTTTACAATTTACAGCTTTCTTTATTATTTCTTCTATTATTATCACCTGAACATCCTTAATCTTTTTCAATAATTTTTAATTGAAGTCTTTATCAAATTATTAATCTCAATATATAGAATTATTCAATTCATTTTTTTACAATGATGGTGCTTTTCTCTCCTCCTTTTGATCCTTCATCTTCGACCACTAAAATTTCCAAGCGCACTACATCACAATCGATTAGAGATCATGAAAAGTTAGGCTTCGTATCGAACGCGCTGGTAGTAATTTAGAAAAAGTTATTTCTTACCTTGAATCTATTTTTGGACCACATGTTACTGCTTATTCATTGCTCAAACAAGCTCATCTTCTCAGCGAGAGACTTAATCTTACAATCGATCGTTTGGCATCCCGCAACAAACAAGCCCTTTTCTGTTGGTTTACAGAAAATTGGGATATAATATATAATTATCTTCCTAGTATAGCGGACTCGCAACGAGTTCAGCTTATACAGCCTATTATGCAACAAGTTATCACAAGGCAGTCTAATTCTGATATTGATATATCAGATATTTCTATGTTACTTAATTATCATTGAATAATATATAATTTTAATAAACTGTTCCTGTATTTATACTGAAATATAAATTTTTCAAATATTTTTTCTTTATTTTTCTAAATCATTGACCTATTTAACGTTCAAATATGAACCATATGGGAGATAATGTCGTTGATCAATTGAGAATGTTTTTTTTTACATATTTCTGTTGCAATTTCAATTATCTTCACTTTTAAAATTGATCTAAGGATTCATCTATTTATTTCGATTCTCATCAAAAATCGGTTTGAGAAGTTCCATTTGATGCACAAATTTCTGAATAAATTTTGAATGAAGTTTAATTCTAATTCTCATTTTTCCCTGCTGATGATAACATAATGATAATCGCCCTCTGAATTTATATTTGAATTGAAATACAATATAAAATTCAAATATGCACGTTATATCCCATATTCAAAATTTTCAAAACAACTTTCATTTTCATTGTATTTCATTTTTAACGATTCGACATAAATTATATGGAACTATCTCTATTCAAAAATATCAACAAAATAATATGGCTGGCCAACATTCAAAATTAGTAGTATATGTGGACGGGTTGTGTGACTTTTTTTGTAAACGTAAGAATTCATACAATATTGAACGATTTTGTATCATTTTTTTTAACATATGAAGTAAAAAATGTAAGATTCTTACAGTTTTTATTCTTACGTTTTTGAATAAATCAAGATTTAAAAATTGACTTCTTACGTAAAATTAAAACTAAGTTAAATTTATTTTTTTAATTCGTAAGAAAATGAGTGGATCAAGATTCGTAACCATCAATCAATTAATGGATGTTCTTTCACCAATTCTTGAAAATATTAAACAAGTAGATGTTTATTTCGATGATTATGTAGAAAGTTTATATTATAAAGGTAAACATAATAAAAAAAAAAAAAAAAAAAAAAAAAAAAAAAAAAAAAGGTAGTGGGGCTTCCAGGGCTGCGCCCCTCTAGCCCCTGAAGATGTTTAGTATAAATGAAGTTCTTATATACGGGTCTTCCAGGAGCTTTTCACAAAATATATATGTTTTCATGTTTTGTCACTTTTCTGTCACTTTTCAGGTAAAAACATTTTTATTATATATATATAAAATGAATTTTACAAAACCACCGTTACCCTTCTTTGGAAATAAGAGTAGATGTAAAGATATTCTATTGAGAGAACTTAAGAAACTACCGAATGGTCTAACATTTGTAGATTTGTTCGGTGGAAGTTTCTATATATCTCATTTGTGCCATACTGTATTTCCTGACTCAAAGATTATATGCAATGACTTCGACAACTATATGAACCGTCTCAAACATATACCAGACACAAACAAAATATTGAAAGAGTTAAAAGAAAAGATACCTATAGGTAAGATGGAACGTATACCATTAGATAAGAAAAATACTGTCAGAGAGGTTTTGAAAAAAGCAGAGTATATTGACTGGGATAGTATATCTTCTAGACTATTGTATAGTGGTTCTATAAGAGTTCATGACATTGAAACACTTATGTCAAAAGTTTTATATCTTAACTATACAAAGGTTTTCAAAGAGAACATAGAAAAATATACTGAGGGTATAGAGTTTGTGAGATGTCGTTGGACAGAGTTGTATGAAAAATATAAAGACAAGGAAAATGTTTTCTTTATAGTAGACCCGCCGTTCTATAACACATATGATTTTCAATACCAAGTAGACTGGACTTTGAGAGACTCTTTAGAAACTTTAGACGTTGTACATAACCATCCATGCTTTTACTTTACATCCGATAAAAGTGGTTTGGAAAGTGTCATGAGATGGTTAGAGGACATACATGACTATGAGTTTAGATACGATAAGATAGAATATGAGAGAGGTCCTATAAACCGGAGAAAGTGTCATAACAAAGAAATTTTATTGGTAAGTAAATGTGGTTTGAAATAGGACTACTTGTTTTAGGTTTTTTCCATTGTGTCATTTACTTATTTGACGTGGCAGAAAGATATAGAGAATATGAAGATGAACCAATGCCAGCAAATGTTCAGTATATGTACTCGTAAGAGATATTTTTATCTAATATTAAATGGACGCA